TCTCTAAGGTGCCACAAGTACTCCATATCTATCTAGCATTATTTTCTCTCCTCCTAAGCACGCCTCTCCCATGAGACAACGACTAGGGAGTTTTGAGTATTTTGGACAACCATGGGCGACCAAGGTCCACATTGGCACCTTTTATGAGGTAAAATAGACATGATTTTTTAGCTTTTTTGCCCTGCCAGTGTTACCATCTTCGTGCTTTTCTGGCCAGGATGGAGGAGGCAAATAGGCACGAGGTTGGCACATTTTTGGTGCAGCCATGGTAGCGACTAGGGCACCATATTGATACAACAGGCAATGCCATGCAGCGGGGCGACCAGGCCGTATATCAACACCTTTCATGAGGTAAAACAGACATTTAGGTTTTTTGGCCCTCCCATGTCTACACATTGGCACGTTTTAAGCACAGGAGCATCTGGGCGCCATATTAGTACAGGAAGCAACACCAAGCAGGGGAGCAACCTGGCCCCCTGTGGACACTTTTATGGGGTAAAAGAGACACAGTTATTAGGGTTTTTTGGCCTTCCCGTGAGATGACGTCGGCGCGTTTTGTGTGCAGGGGGCACCATCTTGACACAGGAGGCAACGCCAAGCCAGGGACGACCGGGCCCACTTTTCGAGAGGTAAAACAGACAGTTATCTTGGCGTATCGGCTCCCTGGCGACGCCATACTGGCATCGGTCCCTGGCGCCATATTGACCCAGGAAGGTAGGCCATGGAAGGGGAGGGGCGACCGAGCCTTTTCATGAGGTAAACCAGGCGCGGGGAGGCAATGGGTACCGAAATGGGGCGTGTTTGACCCAAGCTAGGGTCCCTCTATTAGCCTCAACAGGTGGGGACAGTTTTGGCGCCTTTTTATCTTCAGCGCGCGCGCGCGCTCCCTCCCCCCCACCGCCGCGCGCGCGCGCGCGCGCACCCTCAAAGCGCCCTTGAGCCTCACGCGCTCCTAACGGCCGGGGGAGGGAAAGAAACTCCAGTGCGCACGCGCCACCTCCTCAGCACGGCCGCTGCTCTGTCTCCGCGCCGACGAAGCTAGCTTGAGGCCGGCTCCGTGCGCATGCGCGGTCATCTGAAGGGGGGCGCGGAAAGGACGCGTGCGTCTGTCGAACTCACTGCGCATGCTCGTCTTGGCAAAGGCGGGGGTTGGGGTTGCGCATGCGCATTGCCTTAAGTGGGGGGGTACTAAGTAGCCATGCTGGTGACCACGTGGTTTTCACTATGCGCTGACCCTATAGATTATGGACCTATAGGGGGGGCTATATTATTATTCGTTATACACTAGGGATCTGTAGATGGACTGGAGGTATAGATTATGGACTTTATGGAGGTTTATATTATAATTATATATATGAGCCTGTGGGTCTGTATATGGGCTGACCCTATAGATTATGGACCCTATGGCTCAGTATAGGGACCCTTAAAGAATGGATTTTAAACATCTTTAGGTTATAGGTCTTGGTGTATGCGCTGGCCCTGTATAGGGACCCTTGGTGGCTATATGTGGGCTGAGATACGGATCCTGCAGGTCTGCATATGGGTCAACCACCTCAAGCCTGGATGCAGTAGGCCTGCATATACCTTTATCATTTATATTATGCACCCCCATGGATCTGTATAGGTCCCTAGACCTTATGGGCCTGAAAAAGGGTCTCTCTTTTTCCCTACATCTGTGAGGCCCAATGGATTTGTCTATTATAGACCTGTGTAGACAAATTTTTGAGGGTCCATATATGGTCTGACAAGTATATTATGGGGGCAATTTAACCATTCCTATCCTGAAATAAATTTACTTGATCCTAATAATATATATGTTATTTGAAAACCAACTAAGCCTTTCATTACATGGAAAGGCACGCTTTATGGGACATTGAGCACACAGACGCTGAGGGATAGCTCAGTGGTTTGAGCATTGGCTTGCTAAACCCAGGGTTGTGAGTTCAATCCTTGAGGGAGCCATTTAGGGATCTGGGCCAAAAATTGGGGATTGGTTCTGCTTCAAGCAGGAGGTTGGACTAGATGACCTCCTGAGGTTCCTTCCAACCCTAACCTTCTATGATTCAGCCATGGTGTACATAGCAGAACGCTGACTCACCAACTCTCTGGTCATCCAGGAATTAGCTGGATTCCAGCACTCGGAGCGCCCCCTGGTGGCCTGTTTCTCTTCTGTCCCAGACCCCAGTGCCCTTTACCTTGGGGTTCTGCCCACAGCAGTACCCCCCACACTCTGGGCCTCAGTGGCTATGGCAGTCATCATCTAGCCCCCACTCCCTGGGGCAGACTGCAGTCTGTAATGGCCACTCATCACTGGCAAGGCAGTTGGACCAGCTGCCTCTGCAGCCTCAGTACCTCCTTAAACAAGGCTTCAGCCTGGGGAGTTGCCAGTTCCTCTTTCCTTTCCACAGCCCTGTCCTGCTTCCTGTGCTCCAAGGCAGCCAGGTCCTTCCCACCTCAAGGCTGGAGTAAGACTCTGACCCAGCTCCTCCCTAACAGCTGTCTTATTAGGGCCAGCTGGGCCCTGATTGAGCTGGCCACACCTGTGGTCAGCTACTCAGCCAAGTCTCACTCCTCTTATCTCAGGAGCAGGGTAACTGCCCCTCTACACGCACTTTATGGGACACTGAGCACACAGACCCTGATTCAGCCATGGTGTACATATAGCCTCACTGATATCTGGCCCGTAAAACCTTTGTAACGCAGCTTGATCTTACATCAGTTTTAGAGATGATGTTAAATGTGATATTCAATACGCAAAACTCTAATGTGTACAGCTATTGATTAATTCAATGAGATACACACCGCAGTTATATCAAGGTAGGGTGACCAGATGTCCCGATTTTATAGGGACCGTCCCGATTTTGGGGTGTTTTCTTATATAGGCTCCTGTTACACCTGTCCCGACTTTTCACATTTGCTGTCTGGTCACCCTACATCAAGGTAGGCAAACCACATATTCAGCCTTACCCATGCCCTTAGTATTGTATTACGTAGAGACAGGTTTCAGAGTAACAGCCGTGTTAGTCTGTAATCGCAAAAAGAAAAGGAGTACTTGTGCCACCTTAGAGACTAACCAATTTATTTGAGCATGAGCTTTCGTACTCCTTTTCTTATTACTTAGAGAGATACAGATTTGTATATAACCTAAGGCAAGTCACTTAGTTCCACCTCTGTCTGCCTGCTCTGTTTTCCTTCTCACCCCTTGCCTGTCTTATCTGTTTAGACTGTAAAATCTTTGGGACAGGGGATGACTCTCACTATGTGCATCCTGGGACCTGTAGTCTCAGACCAGGCAGGTGTAAGCGGACAGACCCTTTGTCTGGTATTAGACTGGACAGCCCTGCTTTTCTAGGGTCTGTTCCCTACCCAGTATTCAGACAAAACCATATCTGCTTTTCTCTGATATTGGATGAAGGGGGTGCCTGTTTTTAAGAGGTCCTGCCCCAAGTGGCCATGATCTTCCATGCAACATGTGTCTTGAAGTCATTCGGGCTGCAGCAGGGTCACGCCAGCAGGGGCAAGTGGGACCTTGATGTGTGAGTGGCCACCCGGGGCAGGTGCCTCCAATAACGTGTTCATCTTCCAGCCAGTCCCCCCTTCACTGGGAGGGCTGGTGTCAGGGTGCGAGAGGTAGCGGGACCGCTCCTGGGGCATAGGTCAGGGGTCAGAGGTGAGAGATCAAATGGGCCAGGAATCCCGCATCCCGCCCCGGGCCGGAGGTGGAAGATCGGGAATGGGGAGAGGAAATTGCAGAGGTCAGAGGTAGGAGGGGGGTCAAGGGTCAGAGGTCAGGCTCATTCACTTGGCGTGACAAGCCCGGTGACCTCCCTGGGGTGACCCGGCAGGGGTCAGAGGTCGTAGTTCACTCAGCAAAGGCAGGGCAGGTGACCCCCCACCTTCTAAGGGGTCAGAGGTCAGAGTTCTCTAATTGGGGTGAAAGGTCAGAGAGGGAGGGGGGCTCCCCTCCTGCTCACTCCTAGGGGAGGCCAGGTGGTGCCCCCCTCCTATAAAGGGGGAGGGGGAGCATATATTTACAGCCTGGCGGGGAAAATTCGTTCTGCGCAGGCGCAGAGTCCGCCCCAGCGGGAAGAGGTAAAAACTACAAGTCCCAGGATGCCTTGCGACTCCCCGCCCACGTGACTGTTGCCCACAGCCTCTGGGCGGGGGCTTGATATTGGAGGTGAAAAACAACGAGCGGGCTCTGAATCCACCGTTCACACGGGGCGCGGCCTGGGGTTTACTCCCGCGCGCCAGGCGAGACGGAGCCGGGCGCAAAACGGCCCAGCCCCCCCCGCGGCGGCGGACTGAGCGGGACGTGGAGGTGTCCACGTCAGTGCCTGAACCGGCGTCGGGTTTTAAATCCGTTTCCACACACCACCCAGGAGGCGCCGTTTTTCTAACCTGGTTCCCGTCACCGAAGCCCGGCTGGACACTTTTTAATAGGGTGGAAAAAAATTTCCCCCAACAGGCACTCTGTGGGGACAGCTCTGAGCTCGGAGGACCTCACCGCGCGGCCCATGGGAGCTCGGCCGGATGGGAGTCGAGCGCTCCGATTGGCTCACGTAGCCTTCGTTGTGCTCCCTGATTGGCTACGACCGCGGCAGCGGGGCGGGAGGAGCGGGAAAGGGGGCGGTGCTTCTCACACGCAGGGGCAACGTTCGCGCAGGGGGCGTCCGTCGAGCGGATTGGCCGCCGTTCCACGTGGGAAGGGACAACACGGCGCCCTGATTGGCCCGCGGCCGCGGGAGGGGGCGTGGCCCCCGGCGGGCCCGCCCACCGGGTATATCTACCGCAGGCGGGGGGGGGGCCGCCTTGCCATCGCGTCGGAGCTGGGAGACGCGAGCCGCGGCTGTCTCCTCCTGGGCCTCGCGCGGGCGGCCGGGCCGCGCATGCGCCACGCGGGGGCGGCGCGTCGCCGCGAGGGGGAGGGGGCGCCGCGCAGGCGCGTTGGGGCCCCGCGCCGGGGCCAAGGCGGCGGCGGCGGAGGAAGGCGGCGGCGGCCGCGCCGCGGGCCGGAGGCGCATGCGCCGGCGGGGCCCGTGAGGGGCGGGCGCGGCCGCTGCGGGGCGCGCGGGGCGGGGCCGCCCCCGCGCAGGCGATGATCGAGATGGCGGCGGACAAGGAGACGTTCCTGGCCCCGGCCCCGCCGCCCCTCAGGCCCCCGCCCGCGGCGGGCGGCGGCGGCGGCGGGCCCCTGGGGCAGCTGCCCGAGGGGGCCGCCCCGGCGGAGCTGCGCCGGGGGGCCGAGCCGCCGCGCGGGGGCGGGGGCGGGCGCGGGGGCGGCCCCCTCGTGCAGCTGCCCCAGGAGGCCGCCCCCTGGGGCCAGCGGCGGGGCGGCGGCGGGGCCCCGGGGCGGCCGCCGCAGGGGGCCGGCGCCAAGGAGGAGGAGGACGGCGTGGGCGAGCTGCCGCGGCCCCGCAACGGGCTGCAGCCCCAGCGGGGCAAGCGGCGGAACAGCTGCAACGTGGGCTTCAAGCACCCGGCCTCCAAGCGCCGGCGCCGGGTCAACTCCGAGTGCGACCCGGTGCTGCCCTCCGAGTTCCTGCTGGGGGGCAACATCTTCGACCCCCTCAACCTCAACAGCCTGCTGGACGAGGAGGTGAACCAGGCCCTCAACGCCGAGACCCCCAAGTCCTCGCCGCTGCCGGCCAAGGGCCGGGACCCGGTGGAGATCCTCATCCCCAAGGACATCACCGACCCGCTGAGCCTCAACGCCCAGGACGGCGACGCGGCCCTGGTGCTGGCCTCGCCCTTCAAGGCGGGCCGCAAGCGCCACCGCCACCGGGGGCAGCAGCGGGGCGGGGGCGGGGCCGGGGACTGCAAGCAGGTGGCCTGCAAGGCCTGCGACGCCGCCTGCCCCACCCCGCAGCCCTACGAACTCAACACGGCCATCAACTGCAGGGACGAGGTGGTCTCCCCGCTCCTGCCCCTCGCCGCCGAGGGGGCCGGCTGCGGCACCCCTTCTTGTGCCTCCTTCTCGGGCGGCCGCCACCACCGCAAAAGGCGCCGGACTTCCAGCAAATCAGAGGTGGCCGGGGGGGCCAAGCTGCCACCGCCTCCCCCCACCCCGGGCGGGGGCAAAGGCGGGGGCCAGCCGGGCAAGAGTAGCCCGGAGAAGGGCAAAGGGGCCGGGAGGCACCAAGCGGCGCCCACGGCCAAGCGGCGGCGTCGGCAGCGGAAGTTCCAATACGGCAACTACTGCAAATACTACGGCTACCGGAACCCCAGCTGCGAGGACGCCCGGCTGCGGGTCATGAAACCCGAGTGGTTCCAGGGCAAAGAGGTGCTGGACCTGGGCTGCAATGTGGGGCACCTCACCCTGAGCGTGGCCAAGAAGTGGAAACCTGCCCGGGTGGTGGGGCTGGACATAGACGGGGCCCTGATCCACTCGGCCCGCCAGAACATCCGCCACTACCTGTCAGAGGAGATCCAGCAGCAACAGGAGGAGGCCGAGGAGACGCCGGCCGGAGCCGGCAACAAGAGGCGGAGGGGCTGCTTCCCCGCCTCGCTGGCGGCCAGCAGGGGGCCCATCGCTGCTCCCCGGGTGCCCCAGGATGGGGCGGGTGCTGCCGACTTCCCCGACAACGTGATCTTTGTCCGGGTAAGAGGCCTAGGATGTGGCAGGGGGAGGGCCCCACCTTTCAGGGGCGCTGCTGGTGTGGGTAGCAGCCGCCCACCTAGCTGCTTTCAGCGGGAGGTGGGAGGTCACACAACAGACACGCCCCCTAAGATCCTGGGGGAGGGACTAGGGTTTGGCAGGAGGAGCCCTCCCATCCCATACGAGAGGGCGGGGATTAGCTCCTCTCCTAGGCCGGCCAGTGGCTTAGGTGGGATGGGCTGGTAGGATCACACAGGCCTTGCCTGGGGGGTGGGTGGAATTGCTGAATCCTGGTGGAATAGCTTCTCTGGCTGCTAACTTCTGATTCAGGGGGAGTGACTTCATCTTGCTGGGGGGCGGGGGTGCATATGGGGGGGCCAGGATTCCCCTGCAATCAGGAGACCAGTGCAACTGACAAGACGAAGGGACCGGTTAAATAGCTCCTGGCTTGTTTCAGCCGAGCCCCTCTGGCGAGGGGCACAGCCGTCCCTCCGTCCCCTCACAGAGCCAGAATTCCCTATCGGAAGCAGGAGAGCACAGAATTTTAGGGTGGGGGTGTCTGTGACCTTGGCCGCTTTGGTTCACCTCTGCCGCGGTTCACCTGAAATGGACTGGCACCCGTTTGGCTCTGTGAGGCATGTGCTCTCGAGATCAGCTGATAAATGGCACCAAGCCACATCTGAACCCAGCGTTTGACCGAGGGTGGTTGGCAGGGGAATGCAGCTGGGGGCAGATCCGTTAACCGGGCAATGATCGACAGCAGAAGTGCTGCCCTGTGCCCACAGCGGGTGGGTTAGCTGCCGGGCGGGCCGGCTGAGGAGAGACGCCCGCCCGCAGACAGGGCCTTATCTTAGGCCCTTCCCCTCCGGGAGGGGAGTTGGGTTGGGTGTCAGAAGGCTGTTTCCTCCGAGCTTAGATTTTCACCTCTGTCCTTGTCCCTGTGGGGCTTGGAAATCAAAGTCCATGAGGCGGTTAAGGAGGGTGGCCTGTCCCCAGAGCAGCAGGCCCTCAGTCTGTTGGGGTTGGAACAGGAAGGCTACCTCCCAGGTTTCTCTGATGAGTTTTACACGGGGGCATGTAGCAGAGCTGGTCAGTTTCCGGGGGTTACGTTTCTGGCTTCTATCTGGTTCCTATTCTCCGCTCTCCTCCTGACCCCGTGCCTCAGTTTCCCCACTCTCCAATGCTGGACCTTGCATGAGGCTCACGGGAGTTAAGGAGCCTTGCTCATTGGAATCCCTGAAGGGCCGGGGGCCTGGAATTCCCCTAATGATCCTTTCCAAGCCTCCGTCTGTGCGCTTTGAGATCTGCTGCCGAATGGGCAGAGAATCAGACCTGTCGGGGGGCTGGGGGGGATGGATTTTGTCCGCAGGGCCAAGATCCTTTACTGGAGGAATCCAGCGGCTGGTATGCAGAGAAATGTTTCCCGGACCACTGCGATGAGCTAGATCTAGCCTGTAACAGAATGGAAACGCTCTGGCCAGGCTTGGGGGGGAGGCAGGTTCTCACCTCGGGGGGGTTGATAATCTGTACGCAGGCACCTTTGGCAGCTCTGCCTGGGTCCCTTTCACCCCTTTTGAGGTCACGCTACGTGCCAGGTGCTGTCTGTTGGGTAGAACCATGGTATATTGGTCCTGCGAGGCAGGCAGGCCTCTCCCTGCCCCTACTAGTGCCAGTCTCACCCACACTCTCGGGCCTGTTGCAGGGCGACCCCGCCCCATGCCCAGCCGAGCTGCCTGGGAAATCCCACAGCGAGCACGATCTCCAGCCGGCACTGGGGGCCGAGGGACGTGAGATGGCTACCCAGGGGCTCTCCCCCCGAGTTCAAGAGTTAACATGTTTCTTCTGAAGGCAGGAGCATTGGCTAACAGCTGGAGGGAGGGAGGGGAGTCAGGACTCTTGGGTTCTCTTCCTGGCCCGGTTGGCGGGTTTGATGCCTGAACGGAAAGTGAGTAGAAAGCCACCACTCCCCCGATCCTGTCGGACCTATCGGCCTGTCGCTCGCAAATCAGCCAGAGCTGAGCATCGATTCCAGCGCCGGCCTGGCGTGGGACTATGAGTCCCAGCATGCTGTGTGGCCAGCAGGGCATGCTGGAACCCATAGTGCCGCCCCCCCCCCACCGAAGTCTTGTGTTTAAACATGCCTGACCCCTTCCAGAATTCTTTAGAGGGTCCTGTGTGTGGAACCACCGCCCCCTGACTGAGATCAGGGCTTCCCAGACACCACACTCCACCCCTGACCATGATCTGGGACCCCCTTTGTGCCACCAGATCTCCCTTCCTCAGCCAGATCCCGACCCCTCTTGTGCCAGCCACTGCCCAGACCCACCACCAGCCAGCGTCTGCCCTGAGGAGCCTCCAGTGTAAATTCCCAGAGGGAAGTGACTGGGATCACCCAGTAGGTCACTGTCTAATGCAGCCACGAGGCTGGAGAGAGAAGTGGGTCACAGCCTGAACTCCTGGGGGAGGGAGATTCCTGTAGATGCCCCCAGCATGGAGGCTGGTAAATATTTACACCCCCACGGGCTGATAACCCGGGGGGAGGCGTTGTATGGCAGGAACCGGGGAACTGCCGGGTTGGAAGCCGCGTGTTGCTGTTTTTGAAAGTTTTCGACGTTTTCCTTTTTGAAAAGAAGCCTGCGGAGAAGGGGCCTGACCCCGCGCAGGGCGAAATGGGCTTTAGTCTCTTCAAGAGGCTGCAATACGCAGCAACCTCTGTGAAAACCGGGGCTTCGAGGCTGTGGCTCGCTAGCAAGAGCCAACCGGGGGGGAACGGCTAACTTTGGGGGCCAGGCTGTGTGGCTGGGGCCCGGCTGTGAACACACAATAGATCCGTCACCTTTGTCTCGGCTGAAAGCGTCCCGTGAATGAGGGGCTGATGGTATTCCGCTGCGTGCAGCGATAGGGGACCTTGCGAGGTACCTGGACCAAACCCAGCTGCGTTTAGCTGGGAATCAACATGGCCGAAGGGTTGATCCAGAAATTAACTGAAGCACAAATGGAAAAATTTATTCTGAGCGAGGCTTCTGCCAGGCCCAGCGAGCCCGGGTGTTTTGGGGGGAAAGGCATCTGTGGGGCTGGGTGTGTGTCTGAGGTGGGCATGATCCTGATCTTGACCTTCATGGGGACAGGGGGACCCATTGAGCTCTGGGGGCTCTGTGGTGTTGGGGGAATTCCAGATAGCTGAGGGGAGCCGAGTGGTGTGGGCCGTGGAGCAGCGGCAGGAGGAGTCCGGGAGGCTGCAGAGGGCCCTGATCTGGGGGTGGGGGCTGATCTCTGGGGCGTGCCATGGAAACCAAACATCCCCGGCCCTTGGGGCTGGCCGCCAGGACGCCTGGGTTCTCTCCCCAGCTCTGGGAGGGGAGTGGGGGCGGGTGGGTCTCGGAGCAGGGGGCCAGGAGCCCGGACGCCTGGGTTCTCCCAGCCCGCCCGTCACGCCCTCCCTGTGCCCGCAGGGGAACTACGTGCTGGAGCGGGACGAGCTGCTGGAAACGCAGGGCGCCGAGTACGACGTCGTGCTGTGCCTCAGCCTCACCAAGTGGGTGCACCTCAACTGGGGGGACGACGGGCTGAAGCGGCTCTTCAAGCGCATCTACCGCCACCTGCGGCCCGGCGGCCTCCTGCTGCTGGAGCCCCAGCCCTGGTCCTCCTACGGCAAGCGCAAGAACCTGACGGTGAGCGCCGGCCTGCCTGGGGGGCGGGGGGGGATTGCAGCTGCCGGCCTGGCTGACGCCTGTCTCCTCTCCCCAGGAAACCATCTACAGAAACTACTACCGCATCAAGCTGAAACCGGAGCAGTTCCCCTCCTACCTGACCTCCCCGGAGGTGGGCTTCTCCAGCTGCGAGCTGGTGGCCAGGCCCTACAACAGCTCCCGAGGTGAGGGGGGCCCCACTTGGGCGGCCTGGGCCGAGAAGGCATCGGCCATCGGCTGGGGCGGCCTGCTGGCAGGCTGAATAAGCCGATGGCGGGTGTCTGCCATCGGTAGAACTGGGCTGGAAACCAGAATTTCTGACCCGTTGGGAAACTCCACACAATCTGGTTTGTCCCAAATTGGGGCAAAAAAGTCAAATCTCTAAAGGGGAAAATCCCAAAAGACTTTGCGAAAGGCTGCGTGGTTTGTGTTATCAAAGCGAAAATACTGAACGTGGTGTTGCAGTGGTAATTTAGTTCTGACAATTACTTTTATTGTGTATGTTCATTTATCAGTTATAATATTATCAGGCTTGGCAGAATTCGATCCCTATTTCAGGGGCTAGTGAGGTTTCCGTCTGTTTTTACATTTTCACCCTTGTACAGGGGTTTACGGGCTTTTCCCCCATTTTGATTGATTCACATGTTCACCGCGGTGTGAATTTTTGGGACAAGGATTTACTGACCGTCGATGTAGATTCAAAAAGTTAAAGATTTATGCAGTTGAAACACAACTGGTCAACGTCCTCTGTCAAAATATACAACATCAGTATCCTTAAATCAACAAATCCGGCCGGTGTTTAATATGCATTGGCTAGTGCCTTTGTAAGGAGGCTAATTCCAAAGTCACTGGATTTTTTTTAAACTTTCAGGCAGTATTTTCCTTCCTTTTGCCTGTCCGTAAACTTCAGTTAGCCATGGCGATATGTTTTGGTTGGTTTGTGGGTATGGTGAAAGACATTTACTGACCAATCTAATTCGTCAGGCCTAATTACTATCTATTTGTATTATTACAAGGCATTAAAATGGACATTTGATATTTATCAGTTGCAAAATAAGTCAAAACAAAATGCTTCACTGGATTTCGGCTAGTTTCCAAATGTTTCCGTCCAAATCGACACTTCCCCTTGAAACATTTGGATTGTGACAAGCCAGCCTGTCTTCCCACAATGCACAGTTAACCTGTGGAACTCCTTGCTAGGGGATGTTAAGGCCAAAAGTAGAACGCAGGTCAAAGAAGAATTGGCTCAGTTTACGGCGGACAAGGCTATCAGTGGTTATTAGCCAGGATGGTCAGGGATGCAACGCCATGCTCTGGGGGTCCCTAAAACTGCCTTCCAGCAGCTGACCCCTTTGACACAGACCAACCTAACGAGCCTCCGGTAACGAGCAGGATTCATAGTCGGGACGCAGACCGATTCCCTAGCTCCTCACATCCGCTCTCTGTGGGGGGCGACAGAGCTGGAGGGGTTGCTCACAAGTCACGATCAGCAGCTCCGTGGCAATGTAACGAGTCTCCGTGTTAGCCGATTTGGGGGGGCCCCGGATGGGGAAGGGGGAGCAGCGGGGCCGGGCAGGGCCGTGCTTGTACTAACCGGCTGCCCCCGTCTGCCCACAGGGTTCCAGCGCCCCATCTATCTCCTTCACAAGGGCCACCCCACCACCCGCTGAGGGAGAAGCGGCCGACGCTCGGGACCGGAGCCCCCCGTTCTTTTCTTTGCATTGGAGGACAGCTGGGCTGAGCCCGACGGACCCAGGGGCGGGCGGGACTGGCCGCCGCGCCCCGAGATCGGCAGCCGCTGGACGTGGCGCACCTCCCCAGCCCCAGGCACCTGCGGGCAGACGGCCCGGCCCGCGGGGTTTGCGCTCACCAAACTGCCGAGGAATGAATCCGCCGGGTGAGAGGGGCTGCCCCCTGCTGGACACTGCTTAGCGCTGCAGCCTGAAGAACTGCATGGGGGGTGGCTGCAGGTGCCCCATACTGAATACTCAGCCCCCCCCCCCCCAGGGGGAGGTGATGAAAGGAGGCCAGGGGCTCCCCCCTCCAGCCCCCACCCAGTCCCCAGTTGGAGCCCAGTGCACTTCATTCCACCACAGGGCTGGGGGGGAAGCTAGAGCAGAGATTGGGGGGGGGATGGGACAACAGTCTGTGCTCCCCACTCCCCCCCCCAGTCAGCTGTCCAAGCTCCCCTCTGATTCCCACCCCTTAACAGCTCATCTTTCTGCAGCAGGGATGGGAGGGGCCCTTTGCATCTATTGTTAGGGGGGAGACCAGCTAGGGCAGCAACTGCCTCAGTTTCCCCTCTGCTGTAAAAGGGTGGGCAGCGCTGCCCTGCTTGCCGGCGGCAGGCTGAAGAGGTGCCTGTGGGATCCCTTCCTGCTGGCCCTGGGCCGGTTCCCCCCGCAGCAGGGGGCCCCAGCGGCATTGCCTGGGGGGGGGGCGTCCCCGCGTGTGACGTGGAGTTTTATCCTTACAGATGTTGATTCTATTATATATAAATAAAAGCTACCGATTATTGCCCGGCCTGGCGCCTGGGGGCGGCGAGAAGGATCCAGGCGAGAGGCGGGCCTAGGCCGGAACCAGCGTTTATTGACCAGCCCCGGGCAGGGCGGGCGGCTCCAGTCTCCCTCCAGCTGGGGGTCGGGGCTGGGCTGGGCTGGGCAGCAGGAGGCAGGGGGGCCCCAGGGCCGCGCACGTGGCAGCCAGCTGGGCCTGGAATCGGCACCACACCTGGGGGGGAGAACAGCAGGTTCAGAAGGGGGGGGGAGGGCACGGCACGTGGGCCAGCCTGGGGCGGGCACTTGAGCCAGCGCATTGGGATGGGGGAGCAGGGGGCTGAGAACGGGGGGGAGGGCACTTGAGCCAGCCCATTGGGATGGGGGAGCAGGGGGCTGAGAATGGGGGGGGGAGGGCACATGGACCAGCCCACTGGGGTGAGGCGGGGGGGCACTTGAGCCAGCCCATTGGGATAGGGGGAGCAGGGGGCTGAGAACGGGGGGGAGGGCACGTGGACTAACCCACTGGGATGAGGCGGGGGGGCACTTGAGCCAGCCCATTGGGATAGGGGGAGCAGGGGCCTGAGAACGGGGGCACTTGAGCCAGCGCATTGGGATGGGGGAGCAGGGGGCTGAGAATGGGGGGGAGGGCACATGGACCAGCCCACTCGGGTGGGGCGGGGGGCACTTGAGCCAGCCCATTGGGATAGGGGGAGGAGCGGGCTGAGAACGGGGGGGGAGGGCACTTGAGCCAGCCCATTGGGATAGGGGGAGCAGGGGGCTGAGAACGGGGGGGAGGGCACGTGGGTCTGACCATTGGGATGGGGGGAGGAGTGGGCTGAGAACGGGGGGGGGCACTTGAGCCAGCCCATTGGGATAGGGGGAGCAGGGGGCAGAGAACGGGGGGGGAAGGCACATGGGTCTGAGCATTGGGATGGGGGGAGCAGGGGGCAGAGAACGGGGGGGGAGGGCACGTGGGTCTGAGCATTGGGATGGGGGGAGCAGGGGGCTGAGAACGGGGGGGGGAGGGCACGTGGGCCTGAGCCCATTGGGATGGGGGGAGGAGCGGGCTGAGAACGGGGGGGGAGGGCACTTGAGCCAGCCCATTGGGATAGGGGGAGCAGGGGGCTGAGAACGGGGGGGGGGCACGTGGGTCTGACCATTGGGATGGGGGAGGAGCGGGCTGAGAACGGGGGGGGGCACTTGAGCCAGCCCATTGGGATAGGGGGAGCAGGGGGCAGAGAACGGGGGGGGGGCACGTGGGTCTGAGCATTGGGATGGGGGAGCAGGGGGCTGAGAACGGGGGAGGCAGTGGGTCTGAGCATTGGGATGGGGGAGCAGGGGCAGAGAACGGGGGGAGGGCACGTGGGTCTGAGCATTGGGATGGGGGAGCAGGGGGCTGAGAACGGGGGGAGGGCACGTGGGTCTGAGCATTGGGATGGGGGGAGGAGCGGGCTGAGAACGGGGGGGCACTTGAGCCAGCCCATTGGGATGGGGGGAGCAGGGGGCTGAGAACGGGGGGGGAGGCACGTGGGTCTGAGCATTGGGATGGGGGGAGCAGGGGGCTGAGAACGGGGGGGGAGGGCACGTGGGTCTGAGCATTGGGATGGGGGGAGCAGGGGGCAGAGAACGGGGGGGAGGGCACGTGGGTCTGAGCATTGGGATGGGGGGAGCAGGGGGCAGAGAACGGGGGGGGAGGGCACGTGGGTCTGAGCATTGGGATGGGGGGAGCAGGGGGCTGAGAACGGGGGGGGGAGGCACGTGGGTCTGAGCATTGGGATGGGGGGAGCAGGGGGCTGAGAACGGGGGGGGGGCACGTGGGTCTGAGCATTGGGATGGGGGGAGCAGGGGGCTGAGAACGGGGGGGAGGCACGTGGGTCTGAGCATTGGGATGGGGGAGGAGCGGGCTGAGAACGGTGGACGGCACGCACCAGTGGGGAGGGGGGGAACGCGCGGGACGAACCATTGGGGCGGGGGGGGGATACCTGAGCCAGCGCCTCCGGCTGCCCCGCCCGCCGGGCCCAGGCGCTCAGGTTCCGGTCCAGCTGCCCCATCAGCCCGGCCGCCTCCTGCAGCTCCTGGGAGGAGGGGAAGGGATGAAAACCGGAGCCAGGCCCCGGGGAATCTCCCCCCGCCCCGGCGCATGGTCCGGCCCGTTACCTGGGTGATGGTTTCCAGGTAACTCAGCTTCACCCGTTCGAATTCCGCCGCCGAGAGCCGCGGCTCGCTGGCGCCCGCCATCCCTGCGCGCGGGGCACGACGGGAAGGGGCCGGGCCACCGCCGAGCCTCATGGGAAATGCAGTCCCGCCGCGCAAAGACTGCTGGGGTGTGTAGGCGCCTTTTCCTCCCCCTCCCCCAGGACCGCGTGCAGAGCCTGCTGGGAAACGTCCCCGCTCCATTCAGCCCAGGAATTATGGGATGTCTCGCTTCCCGCCCCCCCCCGAGGAATCCTGGGAAACACAATCCTCCACCGCCCCTCCCCCCCATGGGGCTCAATGGGACACACCCCTCCCCCACCCCGCTCAGTGGCAGGGGGCCACAGTGCACGTGGGGGGTCCCCCCAATGTTCAGGCACGGCAGCTGAGAGCCCAGAGGGGGGTTTATTTGGTGGCCCCCGGGGGGGGCTGGGTACAAAGGGTGTGGACACAGCTCTGGCGGGCCGGGGCCCAGAACCAGTCTCTCAGGCCCAGCCCGCCATGGGCCAGCCCGCTAGGCCTCCCACTGCTGGACCTTGCGGAACATCAGGAAGGCGGAGGCCGGGGGTCGGACGTGGGGCTGGAGCCGCAGGGGGGGCAGCCCCTCCACGCCCAGGTACGGGGTCTCCGCGAACAGCTCCAGGGGCTCGTAGAACATCAGCAGGTCCGGGCCTCCGGGGTCGGGCTCCTGGGAAGGGGGGAGACACCCCATTGGTGAGACCTAGAGCTGCCCCATTCCCCAGTCCCCGCCCTGGGGCCAGAGGGGAGCTGGCGCCCCCCAGATGGGACAGCCCCCATGCCCCGCCCCTGGCTGGGAGCTGGCGACCCCTAGAGGGGACAGGCCCCACTGAGGGTTACTCACCCTGTGGGGCTCAGGCTGGGATGGGACGAGCGACAGTTTCTCCCGCAGGGCAGAGCTCAGCACCTCCTCCGCGGGCACCTGCAGGCTGACGAGCCCCTGGTACAGCTGCTGCTCCCGGGGGATGTTCATACCTGGTGCAGCAGAGAGAGGCTGGGAATGTCCCTCCCAGGCCTGCGGGGCGGGAGTCTGGGGCGTCGGGAGGGGCAGGGCTGGGCCGGCAGGGGGTTGCGGGGCAGGAGTGAGGGGCACCGGCACGGCCGGGGAAGGGGGCAGGGCCGGGGGCGCCCCACCTCTCACCTGCGGCCGCCTTGCCCTCCACGCTGCAGCGGGCGAGGAAGGACGTGGCCAGCAGCTCCTGGGCGGCCCGGTGGGCGTCGAAGCCCTGGCGCGCGGCCGCCTGCACCTCCTCGCCCAGGGCCAGGCTGGTGAGCAGCTGGGGGGCGGCCAGGTCCCCCCCCGCCCCCCCGAGCCCCGTCTTCGCCCGCGGAGCCTCCGCCCCGCCCGGCACCACCACCGGGGGGCTGTGGGGGGCCGGGGGCTCCGGGCTGGGGCGGGCGTCGTCCGGGGCAGAGCCCAGCAGGAACCGAACCTGGGGGAGAGCAGGGGTTAGCCTGGGGCAGGGGCCTGGGCTATCCCAGAATCCCCTGGGGCACGGAGCCCCACCTGACACTCGCCCCCCTCCCCCATGAGCCCCCGCGGCACAGGCCCCCCGCCCCTCCCCTCCCCTGAGCCCCCGCGGCATAGACCCCCCTGCCCCTCCCATGAGCCCCCGCGCCCAGCCGTCCCGCCCCTTCCCCCCACTCCCATGAACCCCCACAGCACAGCGACCCCCTGCCCCTCCCCCCCGCTCCCGTGAGCCCCCGCGGCACAGCGCCCCCCCCCCTCCCCCCCGCTCCCGTGAGCCCCCGCGGCACAGCCCCCCGCCCCTCCCCCCTGAGCCCCCGCGGCACAGCACCCCCGCCCCCGTGAGCCCCCGGGGCACAGCCCCCCGCCCCTCCCATGCCCCCCCACACCCCCCCCCCTCCCCTGAGCCCCCGCGGCACAGACCCCCCGCCCCTCCCCCCCGCTCCCGTGAGCCCCCGCGGCACAGGCCCCCCCCGCTCCCGTGAGCCCCCGCGGCACAGGCCCCCCCGCCGCTCCTCCCCCCGCTCCCGTGAGCCCCCGCGGCATAGACCCTCCCGCCCCTTCCCCCCACTCCCATCAACCCCCACAGCACTGCGACTCCCGCCCCTCCCCCCGCTCCCGTGAGCCCCCGCGGCACAGCGCCCCCCGCCCCCCCCCCCTCCCGTGAGCCCCCGCGGCACAGCGCCCCCGCCCCTCCCCCCCCCCCCCCCCCCCACACCCCCCCCCCTCCCCCCCTGCCCCGGCCCCCCCTCCCCTCCCTGACCCCCCGCATGACCCCCCCCCCCTCCCCCCCCCCCCCCCCTCCCGTGGCCCCCCGCCCCCCCCCCCCCCCCCTCCCGTGGCCCCCCGCCGGCCCCCCCCTCCCGTGGCCCCCGGCCCCCCCCCTCCCTGGCCCCGCCCCCCCGCCCCTCCCGGCCCCCCCCCCCCCGCTCCCGTGAGCCCCCGGCCGCGCCCCCCCCCTCCCTGGCCCCCCGCCGCCCCCCCCCCTCTCCTGGCCCCCGCGCGACCCTCCCGCCCCTCCCCCCTCCCGTGGCCCCCCGCCGGCCCCCCGCTCCCGTGGCCCCCCGCACAGGCCCCCCCCCCTCCTCCCCCCCTCCGTGAGCCCCCGCGGCATAGACCCTCCCGCCCCTCCCCCCACTCCCATCAACCCCCACAGCACTGCGACTCCCGCCCCTCCCCCCGCTCCCGTGAGCCCCCGCGGCACAGCGCCCCCCCCCCCCCCCCGCTCCCGTGAGCCCCCGCGGCACAGCGCCCCCCCCCCGTGAGCCCCCGTGCAGCCCCCCCGCCCCTCCCCCCACTCCCATCAACCCCCACACACCCCCCCCGCCCCTCCACCCGCTCCCGTGAGCCCCCGCGGCACAGGCCCCCCCCGCTCCCGTGAGCCCCCGCGGCACAGGCCCCCCCCCGCTCCCGTGAGCCCCCGCGGCACAGCGCCCCGCGCACCTGGCGTCTCCCCGCGCGCCCCCCCGCCCCGCGCCGCCGCCGCAGGATCCCGCCCCCGGCGCGCGCGGGGCTGAGCGACAGGTCCAGGGCGGGCAGCGCGCGGGGGGGCGGGGCCCCGGGCCGGAGCGGGGCGGGGGGGGGCCCGGCCGCGGGGGCCGCGTCATCGCCGGGGGGCGCCAGCCTGGCCCGGCCCCGCAACGGCTCCCGCACGCGGCCGCCGGGGGTTGCGGCAGCTGGGGGGGCGGGGCTGCGGCTCGGCCCCTCCTCCCCGGCCGGCCTCGTTCCCACTCCAAGATGGCGCCAACCAGCGGCCTCCTTCTGAGACCAATATGGCGGCGCCCGTAGGGGGGCGTGTCCGCCGGCTGCAGCCTCGTTCTCGCCCCAGCATGGCGGCCGTTGTCACTAGGCTCTAGCGGGCTGCAGGAAGGCTCGAAGCCCCGCCCTTGGCCCCGCCCCCTGGAGCCTGAGGGGAGCAGAGTCCCTCCCCTCCCAGAGCCAGGGAAAGAACCCAGGCGTCCTGGCTCCCAGCCCCCCCCTCCACCCCGTCCCCACTCCCCTCCCAGAGCCAGGGAAAGAACCCAGGCGTCCTGGCTCCCAGCCCCCCCTGCTCTAAGCACCAGCCCCCGCTTCCCTCCCAGAGCCGGGGAGAGAACCCAGGAGTCCTGGCTCCCAGCCCCCCCTGCTCTAACCCACCAGCTCCCACTCCCCTCCCAGAGCCGGGGAGAGAACCCAGGAGTCCCGGCTCCCAGCCCCCCCTCCCTTTTCCCATTCACCATCGTTCAAGTCCAGTGCGACGTTTTCTCAGGTGTTTCAATTGCAATTTTTATTGCGGGAGTTTGACGGCACGTGATCGGCGGCCCCGGCGGGGGGGGGGGGGGCGCTGCGGGCCCCTGACGGGGTGCAGGATTCCCCGGGGTCACTCGCCTCCAGAAGGCCGAGCGCAGGAAGTGGCCGAGCACCAGGGCCAGCAGGGTGACTCTCCACTCGCTGGGGCTACCGGTCAGCTGGGGAAAAGCAGCAGACGCCGGCCTCACCCGCTGATCTGCTCCCCGCTCCTGGATTGGACCCGCAGGCCCAGCCAGCCCCATATCCCCCCCAATCAGAACCAGGGGCCCCGCCAGCCAGGGATCCCCCCCGGCCTCCAAGAAGAATAAGGTGGGTGGGTCCTTTGGGTGTCCCAGCCCTGTCCTCCCCGCCAGGGGTCTGCAGTTACCTCCAGGAACTGGTGGAGGGGCTGGACGGGGCACAGCAGGAGCAGCAGCAGGAAGCTGGATGTGGCTGTCACAGCCCCCATGAAGAGATCTGTGGGGAGAGGAAATGCAGGGGCTGTAGCAGGGCCGGGGGGGCAGAGAGCTGGCTGGCAGGGCGGGGGGGGGGTCCAGCCAGGGACAGGGGGGAGAACAGCCCATCAGGCAGGTTCGCGGCCTTGGTACTCCCAGCCCGGCACGGACAGGCGGTGTAGGGGACTGCGGAAGGGGGCCCCCCAGCCCTGGCACTCACACTTGGTCTAGGGGGCTGGCGGAAGGGGCGCCCCTTGGCGAAGGCCAGGCCCACGGCGACGTGTTGGAAGCTGGAGAAGAGGCTGGTGTTCTCCGCGCTGCACACGTCTCGTTCCCGCTCCTCCTCGCTGCCACCGGCCGTGCCGTTGGGGGCCCCGGGCGCATCCCCCCACCCCAGGTGCCATTGGGGGCTGGGCTGCAGCTCCTGCTGGGGAAGGGGAGAGTGAGCGTGTGGGACACATGGGGGATGGGACCACTCCAGGAGCCGTGGTTAGCTAAACTCCCAGCATGCAACGCTCCACGGCGGACTACGACTCCCAGCGAGCAACGCTCCACGGCGGACTACGTCTCCCAGCGAGCAACGCTCCACGGCGGACTACGTCTCCCAGCGAGCAACACTCCACGGCGGACTACGTCTCCCAGCGAGCAACGCTCCACGGCGGACTACGTCTCCCAGCATGCAACGCTCCACGGCGGACTACGTCTCCCAGCAAGCAGGAGGCCGACATTTCCGACCCGTGCCCGCACTGCACCCTGGGAGACGCAGTCCTGCAAGGTGGCGGTCTGGCAGGAAGGCGACACTCCCGCCTGCACCAGCAGGGGGCAGCGCTGTGTGGCGGGGGAGAGGCCGGCGCCGTGAAGGCCGCTCGCCCCGCCATCCAGCTCCGTCAGCCGGCAGAACAACTGGGCCCTCGGACTCCAGAGGTCCCGACCCGGCGATGGACAAAGAAGCGGATCTGGGGGGAGGAGGAAAGGGGTGTTAAACCCAGAAGGGGGAGGGGGAGGGGTCCATGCCCCCCCTCACCGCCCCGGTCGGCTCACCTCCACCTGCTCCACGGCAGAGGGCCCCGGCAGCAGCCCCTCCTCGCAGTCCCACGCCTCCGGCTCGGAGCACCCCGGCTTGCCCAGGGGTCTCTTCTTCTCACCGGGCTGAGAGGAGCCCAGAGGGTCGGATCCGGGGCTGGGGAAGGAGCAAACCCAGACCCGGGACCAGGTGCGGAACTCATCCTGCCGAGGGAAAGGCCTGGATCAACGGCCGCATCTCAGCGCCGGGCGAGGGGTCCCTCTGTCATCCGCCGCCCCGCCCCAGAGCTGGGCGCATCTCAGCGCCGGGCGAGGGGTCCCTCTGTCATCCGCCGCCCCGCCCCAGAGCTGGCGCATCACCCGGGGTCCCTGTCATCCCCCCCCCCCCAGAGGTATCTCAGCCGCATCCCTGTGTCATCCCCCCGCCCCAGAGGTGGGCGCATCTCAGCGCCGGGCGAGGGGTCCCTCTGTCATCCGCCGCCCCGCCCCAGAGGTGGGCGCATCTCAGCGCCGGGCGAGGGGTCCCTCTGTCATCCGCCGCCCCGCCCCAGAGGTGGGCGCATCTCAGCGCCGGGCGAGGGGTCCCTGTGTCATCCGCCGCCCCCATCCCCCCCCGGGAAATCCCCACACCCTTCAACTCAACCCGACACCCCCCCTCCCACACCCACACACCCTCCCAATTCAAGCCGCTCCTAGCCCCGAGCCAGCGCCCACCCAGCCACCGGCCCGGCCCGGGACACCCAGACCCCCCCCACTTACGACGGAACTTGCCACTTCGTCAGCTGAATGGGCCCCAGTCGCCCGGCCACACCCGGGGCAGCAGCCGCCTCAGGATCTGGGGACAGAGCCCCAGAGCCGGCCGGGTGACGGCAGAGGAGACAGACGGCCGGCGGGGGGGGGCTCAGGCCGGCAGGCCCTTCAGCACGGCGGCCAAACCGCACCCCTGCAGAGCCCCCTCCGGCCCCACCCCTCCAGGTGCCACGGAGTCTCCCTCCTTGGAAGGCTCAGGGAGGGGAGTGGGGGCTGGTGGGTTGGAGCAGGGGGGGCTGGGAGCCAGGACTCCTGGGTTCTCTCCCCGGCTCTGGTCTGTGGGCGCAGGACCTGCCATAGCTGGGTGGTGGCAGCCCCTGGCACGTGCAAACGGCCCCCAGATCCCCTTCCAGGCTGACATCCCCAGCCCCCATTTTAAGCCCTTCTCCTTGGGGTGACGCCCCACAGCGGGGACCCTGGGTGCAGAGGGGGCAGGGGGCCCCGCCCCGTGGGGAAAGGACCTGAGGAAGGGGGTGGGTCCCCAGAGGGGGGGACATGGAAGCAGTGGCATCGCCAAGGGGATCTGAGGCAGACCCTCTAATGGGTCACACAGCTCAGCCCCATATCTCTTCGTGTGTCCCCCCGACCCTCCCGTGTAAATGCCTCACCAGAGACCCCCTCCCCCATGTCACTGCCATAGGCCCCGCCCCACATCACCCCCCCAGGGACGTCCCTCCCACAGCACCCAGCAAAGGACATCCCCTGCCCCACTGAATGTCCCATAGACTCTCCTCCCGCACCCCTCTGCATCACCCCCCATAGACACCCGCCCCCACAAACCCCCATGCAACCCCCGCAAAGACCCCATAGACACCCGTCCCTCACCCCCTCTGCATCACCCCCGTGGACCCCCTCTCCCCCAGAGCTCCCACACAACCCCCCCAGAGCCCCCCTCCCTTACCCCCTCTGCATCACCCCCATAGATCCCCTCCCCCCCAGAGCCCCCACACAACCCCCCCGAGCCCCCCTCCCTTACCCCCTCTGCATCACCCCCAGAGATCCCCTCCCCCCCAGAGCCCCCACACAACCCCCCCGAGCCCCTCCGTATCACCCCCTGTAGACCCCCTCCTCCTTAGAGCCCCCCCATAGACCCCCCTTTCCCCCTCTGCATCACCCCCCGTAGACCCCCTCCCTCCTAGAGCCCCCCCCATAGATCTCCCCTTACCCCCTCTGCATCGCCCCCCATAGACCCCCTCCCCCAGAGCTCCCACACAACCCCCCCAGAGCCCCCTCCCTTACCCCCTCTGCATCACCCCCAGAGATCCCCTCCCCCCCCAGAGCCCCCACACAACCCCCCCCGAGCCCCTCCGTATCACCCCCTGTAGACCCCCTCCTCCTTAGAGCCCCCCCCATAGACCCCCCTTTCCCCCTCTGCATCACCCCCCGTAACCCCCTCCCTGCTAGAGCCCCCCCATAGATCTCCCCTTACCCCCTCTGCATCGCCCCCCATAGACCCCCTCCCCCCACAGAGCCCCCCATAGACACCCATCCCCCACTCCCTCTGTCTGCATCATCCCCCGTAGACCCCCTCCCCCATAGACCCCCCAGAGCCCCCTGCATCACCCCCCACATAGACCTCTCCCCCCAGAGCCCCCTCCCTCTACGTCACCCCCTCAGACCCCACGTGACTCGCCCGCTCTGGCCCCTCATCACATCGCCCTACTCCTCGCGGGACAGAGGCAGAGCGGAGTCCAACTGCACATGCGTAACGTGTAGCCCCGCGCAAGAGCCCGCCTCCTCCCCGCGGCGCATTGTGGGAGATGTAGTTCCCCCTCCCCGCAGGGCATTGTGGGAGATGTAGTTCCCTCTTCACCCCCCCCCGCCGCGGGTCATTCTGGTAGATGTAGTTCCCTCCCTCCCCATGGGGCATTGTGGGAGATGTAGTTCAATCACCCCAATCCCATGACCTCTGACCTCCCCTTCATACCCTCTCTGCCACCTGACCTGTGACCTCTGACCTTTTCAGTTGGCCCAATTTCCAGCCTCCCACTGCCCCATGGTAGGGCTCGGCTGGTGGGGGGGAGGTCAGTCGCTTCTGGGGGGCAAAGGGGGGCTGAGTAGTAGGGGAACACTGGGGGGAGGGGAGGGCTGTAGGGGGCTGCCTGGAGGAGGGGAGTGGGGGGGAAGGGGATCCCAGGGAGGGCTGGCCGGGGGGCCAGGGGAGAGGGGGCTGGGGGAAGGGAGATGGGGGGCTGGGGGAGGGGAGTCTCCCTACACCAAGGCGAGTGACGCCCCCTGCGGACGTTCCCAGCCATGTTTATTCCCATGCCCTGTGGGGCCGGACAGACAGATGCGCCATGGTATTGCGGGGCTGACCCCCCCAACGACGCTGCGGGCTGAGGGTCCTTCGCCGTCGTGTGGGAGCCCCCGGGGGGCACGAGCGGAGGCTTATCTCCAGGCCAGGAGGCCACTCCAGCCCCCTACTGGTGGGCGGCGTGGGACCGAGGGGCCCCTGAGGGGCAGGGGGGCAGCAGGGGGGCATCTCCCCTCTCCGTCCTCGCGAGCTGCCGCAGCTGGGCGCGGATGAAAATCAAGAGGCCGGACACGTCGCGCAGCAGGGCGGCCTCGGGGGGCCCCGGGTCCTGGGGGGCGGGGGCCTGGGCGGGGAGAGAGAGAGGGCGTGAGGTCGGGGTGTGCGGGCTCGGCCCTCGCTGCCCCATGGGATTCTGGGACAGATCCCAGGCGGGGGCAGGGACTCACCCTCCGGCACCGGACCCAGAGCAGGCCGAGAGCCAGGCCGGCCCCCGCCGCGGCCAGACGCACCCAGTGCAGTGGGACGCAGGGACAACGGGCCCGGGGCAGCTGGGCCGGGGTCCCCCCCGGGCCGGACACCGGCAGCCGCTCCCCCACCCGGCACCGCGCGGCCTGGGCCCGGCCTGGCGCCGAGAGCCCGGACAGCAGAACCACCAGCACCCCCTGCACCCACATGGCACCCTGCCTCCGCGGCCCCGAGCCCAGGGGTTCTAGCTTCTCTGGCCCCATTGTGAGGCGGGGTCAGGAACCCAGCGATCAAGGGGGCTGCAGGTCGGGAGTGAGGGGCGCCGGCAGAGCTGGGGGGTGGGGCTGGGCTGGCAGGGGCTGCGGGTCGGGAGTGAGGGGCACCAGGATCTGTCGGTCTGTCTGAGTCCCTGTCCGTCTCTTCCAGTCACTCAAGGACTGAGCAGGTGAATGACATGAAAACCAAACGCCCTCCACATCCCCAGGCTGGGAGCCCGGACTCCTGGGTCCTCTCCCCGGCTCTGGGAGGGCAGTGGGGGCTGGTGGGTTAGAGCTGGCGGGGGCTGGGAGCCAGGACTCCTGGGTCCTCTCCCCAGCTCTGGGAGGGGAGTGGGGGCTGGTGGGTTAGAGGGGGGGGCTGGGAGCCCGGACTCCTGGGTCCTCTCCCCAGCTCTGGGAGGGGAGTGGGGGCTGGTGGGTTGGGGGGGGGGCTGGGAGCCCGGACTCCTGGGTCCTCTCCCCGGCTCCGGGAGGGCAGTGGGGGCTGGTGGGTTGGGGGGGGGCTGGGAGCCCGGACTCCTGGGTCCTCTCCCCAGCTCTGGGAGGGCAGTGAGGGCTGGTGGGTTAGAGCAGGGGGGGCTGGGAGCCCAGACTCCTGGGTCCTCTCCCCAGCTCTGGGAGGGGAGTGGGGGCTGGTGGGTTAGGGGGGGGGGCTGGGAGCCCGGACTCCTGGGTCCTCTCCCCGGCTCCGGGAGGGCAGTGGGGGCTGGTGGGTTAGAGCAGGGGGGGCTGGGAGCCCAGACTCCTGGGTCCTCTCCCCAGCTCTGGGAGGGGAGTGGGAGCTGGTGGGTTAGAGCAGGGGGGGGCTGGGAGCCCGGACTCCTGGGTCCTCTCCCCAGCTCTGGGAGGGGAGTGGGGGCTGGTGGGTTAGAGCAGGGGGGGCTGGGAGCCCGGACTCCTGGGTCCTCTCCCCAGCTCTGGGAGGGGAGTGGGGGCTGGTGGGTTGGGGGGGGGGGCTGGGAGCCCGGACTCCTGGGTCCTCTCCCCGGCTCCGGGAGGGCAGTGGGAGCTGGTGGGTTAGAGCAGGGGGGGCTGGGAGCCCGGACTCCTGGGTCCTCTCCCCAGCTCTGGGAGGGGAGTGGGGGCTGGTGGGTTAGAGCAGGGGGGGCTGGGAGCCCGGACTCCTGGGTCCTCTCCCCGGCTCCGGGAGGGCAGTGGGGGCTGGTGGGTTAGAGCAGGGGGGGCTGGGAGCCCGGACTCCTGGGTCCTCTCCCCAGCTCTGGGAGGGGAGTGGGGGCTGGTGGGTTGGGGGGGGGGCTGGGAGCCCGGACTCCTGGGTCCTCTCCCCAGCTCTGGGAGGGCAGTGAGGGCTGGTGGGTTAGAGCAGCAGAGGGGGGCAGGGGGAATGGTCACCACTTTTCTGTTACATTTTCCAAATCTTTTGGTGCCCCTCACTCCCGACCCACAGGCCCCAGATCCCAGCCCCAGAGTGGGGGATGTGGGTCCGGTGTTTCCAGGTGCAGGGCGGAGGACCCAGGGCACGGGCTGAGCCGTCCAGCAGGGGGAACCTCTGCAACTTCGCTCTTCCAACACCCCCCCACCTGTTGCCCCACAGATACATAATGACTGCAGAGTCCAGGCCTGGGGAGGGTCCAGCCCCTGCCCCCCACCCTCCCCCCGCCCCATGGGCACCCAGCTGATTCCTTGGCCTGTCCCCAGCACCATGAACAAGACGCTCTTTATTCGCTGCCTCCCCCACCCCGGGGCCACTGATGGTCCGTCCCCATTGTCCTGCCTCGGCTGGAACAGGGTGTCCGAGGGGGAGGGGGGACCGGGAACAGAACAAACGTCTTTGTTCCCCCGCCTTCAAACGTCAAAACAAAGTGTCCCGCCGCAGCTGGTGACACGGGGACCCCTCACCCGGCGCTGAGACGTGGCCACCTCCGGGGCGGGGCGGCCGGTGACACGGGGACCCCTCACCCGGCGCTGAGACGTGGCCACCTCCGGGGCGGGGCGGCCGGTGACACGGGGACCCCTCACCCGGCGCTGAGACGTGGCCACCTCTGGGCGGGGCGGCCGGTGACACGGGGACCCCTCACCCGGCGCTGAGACGTGGCCACCTCCGGGGCGGGGCGGCCGGTGACACGGGGACCCCTCACCCGGCGCTGAGACGTGGCCACCTCCGGGGCGGGGCGGCCGGTGACACGGGGACCCCTCACCCGGCGCTGAGACGTGGCCACCTCTGGGCGGGGCGGCCGGTGACACGGGGACCCCTCACCCGGCGCTGAGACGTGGCCACCTCCGGGGCGGGGCGGCCGGTGACACGGGGACCCCTCACCCGGCGCTGAGACGTGGCCACCTCCGGGGCGGGGCGGCCGGTGACACGGGGACCCCTCACCCGGCGCTGAGACGTGGCCACCTCTGGGCGGGGCGGCCGGTGACACGGGGACCCCTCACCCGGCGCTGAGACGTGGCCACCTCCGGGGCGGGGCGGCCGGTGACACGGGGACCCCTCACCCGGCGCTGAGACGTGGCCACCTCCGGGGCGGGGCGGCCGGTGACACGGGGACCCCTCACCCGGCGCTGAGACGTGGCCACCTCCGGGGCGGGGCGGCCGGTGACCCCTCACCCAGCTTGGAGACGTGGCCACCTCCGGGGCGGGGCGGCCAGTGACACGGGGACCCCTCACCCGGCGCTGAGACGTGGCCACCTCCGGGGCGGGGCGGCCGGTGACACGGGGACCCCTCACCCGGCGCTGAGACGTGGCCACCTCCGGGGCGGGGCGGCCGGTGACACGGGGACCCCTCACCCGGCGCTGAGACGTGGCCACCTCTGGGCGGGGCGGCCGGTGACACGGGGACCCCTCACCCGGCGCTGAGACGTGGCCACCTCCGGGGCGGGGCGGCCGGTGACACGGGGACCCCTCACCCGGCGCTGAGACGTGGCCACCTCCGGGGCGGGGCGGCCGGTGACACGGGGACCCCTCACCCGGCGCTGAGACGTGGCCACCTCCGGGGCGGGGCGGCCGGTGACACGGGGACCCCTCACCCGGCGCTGAGACGTGGCCACCTCCGGGGCGGGGCGGCCGGTGACCCCTCACCCAGCTTGGAGACGTGGCCACCTCCGGGGCGGGGCGGCCAGTGACACGGGGACACCTCCCCCGGCACTGAGACGTGGCCACCTCCAGGGCGGGGCGGCTGGTTACCTGCACAGTGACCATTTGTCCCTGTCCAGCTGACGTGGCCGGGGCGCAGTGGGCAGGATGGGGTCACCCGAGCCGGGATTTCGGGGTTTCGCACCCCACAGACTGGGCTGGAACATTTCCTCAGCCAAAGGGACCAGGGCTGGACGGTCAGACGGCTGGAGAGCCCCCTGCTGAGCCCCACACAGCGCCCCGGGCCCCCCAGCGCGGCGCCCCCTAGCGCCCACACACAGACGCAGGCTCGGCTGCTGCTGCTATTTTAATAACCTGAAATACTATAAAAGTTTCTTTATTACAAATTATTATTATTGCCACCACCGTCCCGTCCCCTCCCCTCCCCCACATCGGGGGTTTCTCTGCCCCCCCTACGGCCCAGTCCTCTTCGCCCACGTGGCCAACAGCCCCCCCAGCCAGTCTTGGGGGGCCACCCCTGCCCTGGCCACTCCAGTCCCTCTGCTTTGGGCATGACACCCCCACCAGTGCATGGAGCCCCCCCACACCCACCCCGCTGCATTAAAACCCCCACCCTGAGAAGCTGCCCCCAACCCAGAGCCAGGAGTCCTGCTGCCCACAGCTCCCCTGCTCTGACCCACCAGCCCCCACTCCCCTCCCAGAGCCGGGGGGAGAACCCAGGAGTCCTGGCTCCCAGCCCCCCTGTTCTAACCACCAGCCCCCACTGCCCTCCCAGAGCTGGGAAGAGAACCCAGGAGTCCTGGCTCCCAGCCCCCCTGCTCTAACCCACCAGTTCGCTGTCCCCTGTCAGAGCTGAGAACTGAACCCAGGAGTCCTGGCTCCATCCCCTCCCCCAAGGCACGTGCTGTGTCAGTAGCCCCCCCTGTCCGGCCAGGCCCCTTCACATGTGCGGGATCGTAGCGCGCGTGGCCCCGGTGGGGGTCAGGCCGTGGGGCGGCGGAGCTGGGCCAGCTGCTCGGGGCTGGCCAGGGAGCGCAGGAGCCCGTTCTCCCACTCCAGGGCCGCGTTGCGCTCGGCCAGCTCCTTGATCTGCTCCCGCAGCACCTCCACCTCCTCCCGCACCGCGAACATCAGGTGGCTCTTCACCAGGTCCTGGGGGGCAGGGATGGGGGTCAGGGCCCGGAGCCAGGGAGAGAACCCAGGAGTCCTGGCTCCCAGCACCCCCGCTCTAACCCAGCAACCCCCGCTCCCCTCCCAGAGCCGGGGAGAGAACCCAGGAGTCCTGGCTCCCAGCCCCCCTGCTGTAACCCACCAGCCCCGCTCCCCTCCCAGAGCCGGGGAGAGAACCCAGGAGTCCTGGCTCCCAGCACCCCCGCTCTAACCCAGCAACCCCCGCTCCCCTCCCAGAGCCGGGGAGAGAACCCAGGAGTCCTGGCTCCCAGCACCCCCGCTCTAACCCAGCAACCCCCGCTCCCCTCCCAGAGCCGGGGAGAGAACCCAGGAGTCCTGGCTCCCAGCCCCCCTGCTGTAACCCACCAGCCCCGCTCCCCTCCCAGAGCCGGGGAGAGAACCCAGGAGTCCTGGCTCCCAGCACCCCCGCTCTAACCCAGCAACCCCCGCTCCCCTCCCAGAGCCGGGCAGAGAACCCAGGCGTCCTGCCCCCAAGGCTCCCCTGCCCTGTCACTCACCATGGCCTGCTCGATCTTGTTGTCGATGGCGATCATGCTGCTGCCCGAGCTGCTGCGGGGCAGAGACAGACGGGGACTGAGAGACAGAACCACCGGGCCTGGCGCCCCTCACTCCCGACCCCCAGCCCCCCGGCACCACCAGCGCCCCTCACTCCTGACCCCCAGCCCCCCGGCCCGGCCAGCGCCCCTCACTCCCGACCCCCAGCCCCCCGGCACCACCAGAGCCCCTCACTCCTGACCCCCAGCCCCTCCGCCCCGCCGGCGCCCCTCACTCCCGACCCCCAGCCCCCCTGCCCCGCCGGCGCCACTCACTCCCGACCCCCAGCCCCCGGCACCACCAGCGCCCCTCACTCCCAACCCCCAGCCCCCGGCCCGGCCAGCGCCCCTCACTCCCGACCCCCAGCCCCCCGGCACCACCAGCGCCCCTCACTCCTGACCCCCAGCCCCTCCGCCCCGCCGGCGCCCCTCACTCCCGACCCCCAGGCCCCCTGCCCCGCCGGCGCCACTCACTCCCGACCCCCAGCCCCCGGCACCACCAGCGCCCCTCACTCCCAACCCCCGGCCTGGCCGGCGCCCCTCACTCCCGACCCCCAGCCTCCCGGCCCGGCCAGCACCCCTCACTCCCGACCCCCAGCCACCGGCACCACCAGCGCCCCTCACTCCCGACCCCCGGCCCGGCCGGCGCCCCTCACTCCCGACCCCCAGCCTCCCGGCCCGGCCAGCACCCCTCACTCCCGACCCCCAGCCCGGCCGGCGCCCCCTCACTCCCGACCCCCAGCCCCCGGCCCGGCCGGCGCCCCTCACTCCCGACCCCCAGCCCCCAGCACCCCAGCCCCTCTGCCCCACCAGCGCCCCTCACTCCCGACCCCCAGCCCCCCTGCCCCGCCGGCGCCCCTCACTCCCGACCCGCACACCCCGGCCCGGCCGGCGCCCCTCACTCCCGACCCCCAGCCCCCGGCACCACCAGCACCCCTCACTCCCGACTCCCAGCCCCTCTGCCCCGCCGGCGCCCCTCACTCCCGACCCCCAGCCCGGCTGGCGCCCCTCACTCCCGACCCGCAGCCCCGCCGGCGCCCCTCACTCCCGACCCGCAGCCCCCGGCCCCGCCGGCGCCCCTCACTCCCGACCCGCACACCCCGGCCCCGCCGGCGCCCCTCACTCCCGACCCGCACACCCTGGCCCCGCCGGCGCCCCTCACTCCCGACCCGCAGCCCCCCGGCCCGGCCGGCGCCCCTCACTCCCGACCCGCACACCCCGGCCCGGCCGGCGCCCCTCACTCCCGACCCGCACACCCTGGCCCCGCCGGCGCCCCTCACTCCCCGACCCGCAGCCCCCCGGCCCGGCCGGCGCCCCTCACTCCCGACCCCCAGCCCCCCGGCCCCGCTGGCGCCCCTCACTTCCGACCCGCACACCCCGGCCCCACCGGCGCCCCTCACTCCCGACCCGCACACCCCGGCCCCGCCGGCGCCCCTCACTCCCGACCCGCAGCCCCACGGCCCGGTCGGCGCCCCTCACTCCCGACCCGCACACCCCGGCCCCACTGGCGCCCCTCACTCCCGACCCGCAGCCCCACGGCCCGGCCGGCGCCCCTCACTCCCGACCCGCACACCCCGGCCCCACTGGCACCCCTCACTCCCGACCCGCAGCCCCACGGCCCGGCCGGCGCCCCTCACTCCCGACCCACACACCCCGGCCCGGCCGGCGCCCCTCACTCCCGACCCGCACACCCCGGCCCGGCCGGCGCCCCTCACTCCCGACCCGCAGCCCCACGGCCCGGCCGGCGCCCCTCACTCCTGACCCGCACACCCCGGCCCGGCCGGCACTCTTCACTCCCGACCTGCAGCCCCAGACATGGATGTGACATCCCGGAACTTTATACCACGGGGAACCAGCTCCCTAGATTGGGCTTTTTGCCTCCAATGGTGCCCCTGCCCCCCAAAGCTCTCCCCAGTCTGACACCCAAACTCCGCCCTAAAGTACCTCAAAGTCACCCCAACACCTCGGCTGGGATGCCCTGACACCGCACCCCTAAACCTCATGCCAGATTCAGACTGAGCCCCCCAAACTCATCCTGATCCCCAAACTTTAACCAACTCAACCCCCCAAATACACCCAGGTTCAAGCAACCCCCAAATACAGCCTGAGCCCCCTCTCTGGCCTCCCTACTCACCCACCCCTGGCTGCCCACCTGAGACGCAGCCCCTCAGATCCGGCCCCCACACGAGACGCAGCCTGGCCATGACCTTGCCCCCCAGGTGGGCAGCCCCTGAGCCCCTCCCCTCCTGCTCCCCGGTACCTGTGGAAGATGAGCAGCAGGGAGAGCAGGGTTTTGTCAATGTCTCGGCGCCCAGCGCCCGGCTGCCCCCGGCTCTGGGGCCCCGGGGCCCCCGGCTTGGCCCGAGCAGGGGACGTGCCTCGGGAGGGGGCCGGCGAGGCACAGCCCCGGCGGCGGGAGCGGGTGGGGTCCCCGGTGTCCGGGAGGGAGCAGCACCCGCAGCTGCGGGGCTCCCGCTGCGCCTCAAAGCAGCTCACCCGGGACTTGACTGAGATGCCCGGCAGCTCCAGCGCCATGGGGGCCCGACTACCCTGGGATCCTCCGCAGCCCAAGTCCCTGAGCCACTGGGAGCCCGGCTGGGGGGCAGAGCCCTTGGGGGGAGCAAAGGGACCCTGGCTTGCAAGGGAGGCAGACGCCGAGGTGCCCGGCTCTGCTGTGGTACAAGCACCCAGCTGTTCGCTGCCAGCCAGCGCTGCCCAGCCCCCGCTCATTCACTCCCATTGGCCGGGCACCACCCCCCCCAGCACCCCCCTTCCCGGGAGGTGGGGGGACGGCTCACATGGGGCGCCTGGCACCATGCCCAGCTGGCAGTGGAGAAAGGGAGCTCCCCCCTCTCGGGACACAGCCCCTCCCGCCCAAAGCTCCCCCTGTTGGGACACAGCTCCCCCCAACAGAGCTCCCTCGAGACGCAGCACCTGAAAAGACCCCTGTGCCCCATTCCCCGCCCCCCTGAGCCAGCCAGTCCCCGCCCTGGGGCCGGGTGGGAGCCAGCACCCCCTAGAGGGAACGGGCCCCGTGCCTCACATGGGGGGACATACACAGGGATGGGGGAGGGGAGCACCATTGCTGATCAGGAGTCTGTGGGGGTGGGGGGAACAAAGGCGGCTTTATGAGGCTGCCACCTTCTGTTTATATTTCCTCGGTGGGGGGGCAGGACACATGGGGGGGTTACCATGGAAACTGGGACCATAACCCACCCCCTGCAAATGCACACTCTGGGAATAGAACCCAGGCGTCCTGCCTCCCAGGCTGCCCTGCTCTAACCACCAGCCCCCACTCCCCTCCCAGAGATGGGGAGAGAACCCAGGCATCCTGCCCTCCCCCGCCTCTTTAATCCCCCGCCAGCTGGAATGTTTAAGGATCTGTTGCCACCTAGTGGTGAGTGGTGAGATAGCAGCCACCAGCTGAGTTCCCTGTCTCAGCTGTGGGGTGAGTGGAGATGACCCCCAAGGCTTCCCCTCCCCCACTGGTGCATATGCGCCCCCCAGCTCTGCCTGTGCCCCTCACTCCCAATCCACAGCCCCTGCTAGTCCAGCCCTGCCCCCCCAGCTCTGCTGGTGCCCCTCACTCGTGGGGTCTGCTGGGAGCACTGGGGCAGTTTGTTATTGTAGCGTCTCTCAGAGGCTGCAGGGCTGTACAGGCCCCCTTGCGAGCCTCGGGGGCCTTGGGAGCGCTCGCTCGTTATTGTAGGGTCTACCAAAAGGAAGGCTTAGCTGTGCAGAGGTTTGTTATTGTAGGGTCTCTCTGATCTGCTCCTCTGCCCCCCACCCTGCATTCCCCATAGTGCCCCTCTCCCCTGCTGCCGGGATCCCCCCTAATCCCCACCGCCCGATCCATGAAGCACAACTGAGTCACATCCGCTCCCAGCCATTCAAATGCAACTTCCCCCCCCCAGCTTCCTTCCTCTTCCACTGAGCACGTCCGCCCCCCACCCTGCCCCCCGCTGGCCTCAGCCCTGCAGCCCCCCACCCCCCATCCAACCCACCCCTCAGCAAATCAGGAAGTCCCGCCCTCCGTCAGGCGCACCGGACAGGAAGTTCCGCCTCACCTTTCATCATCGCTGTCCTGGTGCGCCCCCATTGCGAACATGGAGCGGGCCAGGCTGAGGTGGCCTCCAAAGGGGTCTGACCCCTTCCGGATGGGGCTCCCTTCCCGGAAAAAGTGGGGGGCCGGAGATGAGGGGCGGGAGCCTCGGGGTGGCACCTGGGGAGGAGAGGCAGAGTTAGAGATGGGGCCTCCACGGGGCGCTGGCCCCACTCCAGCCCTGGGGTGGGGTACTGGCTGGCTATGGGGTGAGATGGGGATGCGTAGGGGGAGAGTTAGCAGCTGGGAGGGGGGTCAGAGCTCAGAAATTCCCACAATGCATCTCACCACTTTTCGGCACAGGAGAGGGCGGTCCTCACCCCCAACCCCAAAATAAACCTGCTCTGCCCCCTGGCCAAGCTGTCAGCCCTGCTGGCATCCAGTGGCGGGGAGTTCCACCTGCCAACACTACCCCGAGCAGGTCTTTCGAAGGGGAGGTGAGATGGTGCCCCAGGGGTGGCCCCACCACAGTCACTCCCCCCCTCCCCAGCCACTTGTCCCCAACCCCGGCTGGTGGGGCTGACCGCTACCCCGTGGAGCTCCCCTGCCCCACAGAACCCAGGCATCCGGGCCCCTTTACCTTGTGCCTCTCCTCCACCTCCCTCCGGATGCGCTGGGCGAGGCCGTGGGGCAGCAGCAGCTCTTCCACCCCCAGGCTCGGCTCCGTGGTGGGCCCATGGCTGTGAGCTCTGCCTCCTGGCGCGGCGCCCCCTGGTGTCCTCTCCCCACCCCCCAGTGAGCGGGGCAGGTGCTCGCCGGGATGGGCTGTGCCCTGGGAGTGGCCATGCCCACCCCAGGGCGGTGGCAGAGGGGGGCTGAAGTAGCCGTGGGGCTTGGGCACCAGCCCGGCCAGCTCCAGGCGGGAGTCGAGGGACTGCGGGTGCCGGGCGGTGCTCAGGAGCCGCCCCACGGCCTGGTGCTCGGGGTCATGGTCGTAGAACTCCAGGCATGTCCAGCGTCCCCGTTTGTAGGGCTCACCCGGGCCCTGGTCCAGCTTCACCAGGCGGAAGCGGGAGGCTGCGCCGGGGGGCCCGTTCCGCGGCACGGCCACGTCCTCCGGCGGCTCCATGCCGGGCGGCACCGCCAGGGGCTCGAACTCGCTGGTGATGCTGGTGATCTGGAAGCTGCTCTTCTTCCTGGCGCCGCTCATGGTCCCCGCGCCGGCGCCCACTCACCGGGGCCGGGCTCGCGCCGGGCCCGCGCTGGGGTCTCCGGCCAGGGACGGAGCCGCAGGCAGTGACATCCCCACGGGCACGTGCCGCAAAGGGGGGCACCGGTGACCCCCGATTCTAGCTCACCTGCAGGTCAAAGGTCACAGGGCAGTTCTGGGGGGCTTCAGGCATCCCGGCCCCCCACCGTGGAGGGGGTGGGGCTGCAAAGTTCCCTGAAGTTGGGGCAGGGAGTGGGGTACCCCAGGGGGGCAGGATCCGGGAGAAGGGGGGCAAGTCGGGGAGGGGGGCGCTGGGTTCTTTATTCTCTGCCCTGGGGGCGCCCCCCGGTCCCCACCGCCCGGCCTGAGTCAGGCCAGACCTGCCGCCTGTTGACAAGTCCCCACTCCAGGAAGTCCAACCCCCGCCCCGACCAGCTGACAGCTCCCCGAAGCCCCGCCCCCGCCCGTCCAGCTGACAGCTCCCCGAAGCCCCGCCCCCGCCCCTCCCGGCCCCCTGACAGCTCCCCCAAACCCGCCCCCGCCCCCTCCCGGCCAGCAGGCAGCTCCTCCCCCCGACCGGCCCGCCTGCTCGGTACACCCCGCCCCGTTAACCCCTTCCCCGCCACGGCGCCCCCGCCCGCCCCGTTAACCCCTTCCCCGCCACGGCGCCCCCCCCGCCCCGTTAACCCCTTCCCCGCCACGGCGCCCCCCCCGCCCCGTTAACCCCTTCCCCGCCACGGCGCCCTTGCCCCGTTAACCCCTTCCCTGCCGCAGCCCCCCACCCCCTTCCCATTAACCCCGTCCCCGCCGCGGCCCCCCACCCCCTTCCCATTAACCTCTTCCCCCCTGCGCGCCCACCCCACCCCGTTAACCCCTTCCCCGCTGCGCCCCCCACCCCGTTAACCCCTTCCCTGCCGCGGTGCCCCACCCCACCCTTTTAACCCCTGCCCTGCCTCGCCGCGCCCACCCCCTTCCCGTTAACCCCTTCCCCGCCGTGCCCTCACCCTACCCCATTAACTCTCCCCAACACGGTGCCCCTGCCCCCCACCGCATTAAGCCCTTCCCCACCCCATTAACCCATTCCCTACTGCAACCCCCCACCCCTGCCACGGCGCCCCCCACCCCTGCCCCATTAACCCCTTCCCCGCCATAGTGCCCCCACTCCGCCCCTTTAATCCCTTCCCGCCGTGGCCCCCCACTGCCCTATTAACCCCTTCCCTGCTATGGCGCCCCCCGCCCCCACCCCCTAACCCCTTCCCTGCTGCAGCCCCCCACCCCGCCCCGTTAACCCCTTCCCCGCCGCAGTGACCCAAACCAAAAGTAAGATCATTAGGCAATGACTTGATTACTCTCGTGCCTAATTATCCAGTGCTCCGGACCCATCTGTTCCGGGGGGGCAGATTTTACGGCAGCCACGGTTGTCCTGGGGGTAAAGAGGCTGGTTTGTGAGGGGGTAACCCGAGGGCACCAGCAGGGGTTGGTGCGCACACACATGCCACCAGGGGGCAGCACATCGCTCTCTCACGCACCCCCTCCCTCATTGGCTCGAACCAGCTCCATGGCGCACCGCAGACAGGCGCCCCCTAGGGGCCAGTGGTGGCTGGAGCAGCCTTTCGCTCGGGTGTCCCAGGCAGACTTGGGTGCCCTGTGCGGACAGACCTCATCTAACAAACTCAAGGGGACACCCCAGCTCAGCCCCTGCGGCCGGGCTCAGGAATCCCCAGATCGATGGCTCGCGGGGGGGCACTGGGAAATGGGAATTCTCAGCCTGAGACGGGGACTGTGGGGGGCGGGACGGGCAGAGGAACAGCGAGTACTGGGGGGCTGTGTGGGGCGGGCAGGCAGATAGCGGAGGGGTCCATCCTGCACTCCATGGGGGGGGCACAGACTGGACAGGCCAATCCTGCACTCCGTGGGTGGGACAGAGCGGCCCATCCTGCACTCCATGGGGGGGCACAGACTGGAGGCAGCTACCCACCATGCCAGCAGCTGCCAGGCCGGAGAAGGGAGGGGCTTTCGAGCAGCTCGCTCCACCCCCTTCAGAAATTCCCCCCGGGAATAAAAGCTGGGTGGCCCCATGGCTGACACTCAAGCCCCAGCAGAGGTAATGGGGATGGGGAGAGACTGGCATGGGGTGCTCAGGCATTGAGCTATATAACCAGCCACCCCGCCCCAGAAGTGGCTGCATCTCAGCGTCGGGAGAGGGGTCCCTGTGTCACCAGCAGCCCCGCCCCAGAGGTGGCCGCATCTCAGCGCTGGGCGAGGGTCCCTGTGTCACCAGCCGCCCCGCCCCAGAGGTGGCCGCGTCTCGGCATCAGGGTCCCTGTGTCACCAGCCGCCCTGCCCCAGAGGTGGCCGCATCTCAGTGCTGGGCGAGAGGTCCCTGTGTCACCAGCCGCCCTGCCCCAGAGGTGGCCGCATCTCAGTGCTGGGCGAGGGTCCCTGTGTCACCAGCCACCCCGCCCCAGAAGTGGCTGCATCTCAGCGTCGGGAGAGGGGTCCCTGTGTCACCAGCAGCCCCGCCCCAGAAGTGGCTCCATCTCAGCGTCGGGAGAGGGGTCCCTGTGTCACCAGCCACCCTGCCCCAGAGGTGGCCGCATCTCAGCATCAGGGTCCCTGTGTCACCAGCCGCCCTGCCCCAGAGGTGGCCGCATCTCAGTGCTGGGCGAGGGGTCCCTGTGTCACCAGCCGCCCCGCCCCAGAGGTGGCCGCATCTGCACCCAGTGCTGGGTGATGCATCAACTCTGACAGTGGCATCAGCTGCTGGCTCCAGCCCTGCTCAGTCCATGGGTCGGGAAATGCACTTTCCATGTTCCAGGCACTAAGGACACATGATTCCCCCCCCCCCACCGCCCCTCCCGGGCACTTTACAGGCTCAGGAGATCGCTGGGAGGGGGTCAAATACAGTTCTCAGCCAGCAGCCCATGGGGGTGGGGAAGACTGAGGGGCAGCGGCGGGGGTGGGGGGCTGCGGGTCGGGAGTGAGGGGCACCGGCAGAGCTGGGAGGGGCAGGGCTGGGCTAGCAGGGGCTGCGATCGGGAGTGAGGGGCACCGGCAGCGCAGGGCAGGGGAGGGGGGCTGGATGTGAGGGGCGCCGCTGTCTCCCTCCGCCCCGGTCTTTCTCCCGTCCATCCCCCCCCAGGTTTCTCCATCCCCGGCTGCTCGGCTCGGCTCGGGGGGAGGCGCCGCGTGTCTTGGACGCTGCGTCAGCGGCAGCGGGATGGGGCGAGCGGAGCCGGGGGAGCCGGGCCGGGCAGGTACCGGGGGCGGGCGGGACCCGGGGGGGGAGTGAGGAGGGAGGGAGGGGTGGATGTGGGGTGCTGGGAAGGGGAGCCTCGGGGGCTGGATGTGGGGGGCTGGGAGGGGAGGGATGGGTGGATGTGGGGGGCTGGAAGGATGTGGGGGGTTGGGAAAGGAGGGATGGGGCTGGGAAGGGGAGCCTCGGGGGCTGGATGTGGGGGGCTGGGAGGGGAAGGATGGATGTGGGGGGCTCGGAGAGGAGGGATGGGTGGATGGGGCTGGGAAGGGGGGCCTCGGGGGCCGGATGTGGGGGGCTGCGAGGGGAGGGATGGGTGGATGTGGGGGCTGGGAGGGGAGGGATGTGGGGGCTGGGAAGGGATGGCTGTGGGGGGCTGGGAAGGGGACAGGGAGGTAAGGAGGGATGGAGGGATGCGGGGAGGGGTTCGGAGGTGAGGACAGAGGGATGTTTGGGATGGATGCGGCCTGGGAGGGGTGGGGTGGTGGATGTGGGGGTTGGGAAGGGATCAATTGGAATGTGTGGGGAGGGGGAGATAGGGGAGGGGGGAGATTGGAAAGGGGAGGGAGGGGGAGATGTGGGGCTGGGGGTGAGCACTGGGGGGTGGGAGGCAGCCCGGATCCCCCCTGGTAGCCCCTCCTTGGGGGAGATCCAAGAGAATCTAAGTCTCCCCCCAGGCTCCATCAGGGGGCTCCAGCCATGATCACGAGGCTGAGGGCAGGGCTGTGGGTCATGCAATGGAGTGCTGGGGGGTCACTGAGGGGCATGGGGTGTTTGTTGGGGGCCGTGGGGCACACAATAGGGTGCTGGGGGGTCACCGAGGGGCATGGGGTGTTTGTTGGGGGCTGTGGGGCACATGATGGGGGTTACTGAGGGTCATGGGGTGTTTGTTGGGGGCCGTGGGGCATGCAATAGGGCGCTGGGGGGTCACTGAGGGGCATGGGGTGTTTGTTGGGGGCTGTGGGACACACGATGGGGTGGTGGGAGTCACTGAGGGGCATGGGGTGTTTGTTGGGGGCCGTGGGACACACGATGGGGTGCTGGGAGTCACTGAGGGGCATGGGGTGTTTGTTGGGGGCTGTGGGGCACATGATGGGGGTTACTGAGGGTCATGGGGTGTTTGTTGGGGGCCGTGGGGCATGCAATAGGGCGCTGGGGGGTCACTGAGGGGCATGGGGTGTTTGTTGGGGGCTGTGGGACACACGATGGGGTGGTGGGAGTCACTGAGGGGCATGGGGTGTTTGTTGGGGGCCGTGGGACACACGATGGGGTGCTGGGAGTCACTGAGGGGCATGGGGTGTTTGTTGGGGGCTGTGGGACACACGATGGGGTGCTGGGAGTCACTGAGGGGCATGGGGTGTTTGTTGGGGGCTGTGGGACACACGATGGGGTGCTGGGAGTCACTGAGGGGCATGGGGTGTTGTTGGGGGCTGTGGGACACACGATGGGGTGCTGGGAGTCACTGAGGGGCATGGGGTGTTTGTTGGGGGCTGTGGGACACACGATGGGGTGCTGGGAGTCACTGAGGGGCATGGGGTGTTTGTTGGGGGCCGTGGGGCACGCAATAGGGCGCTGGGGGGTCACTGAGGGGCATGGGGTGTTTGTTGGGGGCTGTGGGACACACGATGGGGTGCTGGGAGTCACTGAGGGGCATGGGGTGTTTGTTGGGGGCCGTGGGGCACGCCCTGGGTGCTACTGAGGGGCATGGGGTGTTTGTTGGGGGCTGCGGGATGGTGATGGGATATTGGGGGCCAGCAGAGGGAATCCCAGGCCCCTGTGACCCCCCCTCTCTCTGCCAGGCCCGTAGAAGACCCCCCGATCCGCTGGGGCAGCGCCCAGCACAGAGCATGGACCGGAGACCCCCCTGAGCTCAGCCCGGAGCAGCGCCGGGGGACCCCCATCAGCACCGGCAAGCAGGGGGCACCGGGGACTCCCACCACCCCAACTGGAGCCTCGGGACCAGACATGCCCCCCGCCCCCCACTCCTGCCCCCCTGGCTAACTCGCCCCCGGGCTGAGCAGGAGCCACGTCCCAGGTGCCCTGGGGGGCAACTGTGGGTCTCCCCTCTCTGCTCCCTGTCACGTTCTGCCATCCCCACCCTGCCATTCATCCAGACGCCCCCAATCCCGCCGCCCTCCACATCACCCCCAAATCCAACACACTCGCCGCCCGCCAAGGTGCCTCAGGTATGGCCCAGCCCCAGCAGTCTGGATGGTTCAGAGCGGGGTTCAGGCGTGTGGGTGTAAGCGGGGGATAGAACCCAGGAGTCCAGGGGGTTCTGGCCTGCGGGTGTTGGGGGGTGGGATAGAACCCAGGAGTCCAGGGGGTTCTGGCCTGCGGGTGTTGGGGGGGGGATAGAACCCAGGAGTCCGGGGGGTTCTGGCCTGCGGGTGTTGGGGGGGGGGATAGAACCCAGGAGTTCGGGGGGTTCTGGCCTGCGGGTGTTGGGGGGGGATAGAACCCAGGAGTCCGGGGGGTTCTGGCCTGCGGGTGTTGGGGGGGGGATAGAACCCAGGAGTCCGGGGGGTTCTGGCCTGCGGGTGTTGGGGGGGGATAGAACCCAGGAGTCCGGGGGGTTCTGGCCTGCGAGTGTTGGGGGGGGATAGAACCCAGGAGTCCGGGGGGTTCTGGCCTGCGGGTGTTGGGGGGGGTTCTGATCAGTGGGTATGGGGAGGATAGAACCCAGGAGTCCAGTGGAATCAGAGGTGTGGGTCTGGCTTGCCCGTGTATGGGTGGGGAAAGAACCCAGGAGTCTTGGCTCCCACCCCTCACCACTACCTCCCAGCCCTCCTCATAGTGTGCACTCCCCCTCTAACACTCTGTCTCTGCCCCCCATTAGCGCCCCCTGGTGGGCTCCCCCCATGCCCCCCTGGACCTGGGCCAAGGGAAGATGACCACTAGCCCCCAGGAGGCCCTGATCTCCGCCTTCCTGCAGTTCATCGAGGAGCGGGGCAGCCTGGCCTACGGGGCGCTGAGCCAGACCCGCCGGCCACCCCACGGCGACATGAATCTGCTCTACCGCAAGAGCAAGCTGGAGTGGAGACAGCACAAGGACGAGGAGCCAAAAAAGGGGTACGTGGGGTTCAGGACTCCTGGGTTCTATGGGGGAGGGGAGTGGGGGCTGGTGGGTTATAGCAGGGGGGCTGGGAGCCAGGACTCCTGGGTTCTCTCCCTGGCTCTGGGAGGGAAGGGGACCCCTCGCCTGGTGCTGAGATGGAGCCACCTCTGAGGCGGGGCGGCTGGTGACACAGGGAGCCCTTGCCCAGCGCTGAGATGCGGCCACCTCTGGGGCAGGGCAGCGGGTGACACGGGAACCCCTCGCCAGGCGCTGAGATGCAGCCAGCTCTAGGGTGGGGCGGCTGGTGACACAGGGAGCCCTTGCCCGGCGCTGAGATGCGGCCACCTCTGGGGCAGCGCAGCTGGTGACCCAGGGACCCCTCGCCAGGCGCTGAGATGCAGCCAGCTCTAGGGTGGGGCGGCTGGTGACACAGGGAGCCCTTGCCCGGCGCTGAGATGCGGCCACCTCTGGGGCAGCGCAGCTGGTGACACGGGAACCCCTTGCCCGGCGCTGAGATGCGGCCACCTCTGAGGCGGGGCGGCTGGTGACACAGGGAGCCCTTGCCCGGCGCTGAGATGCAGCCACCTCTGGGGCAGGGCAGCGGGTGACACGGGAACCCCTCGCCCGGCGCTGAGATGCAGCCAGCTCTAGGGTGGGGCGGCTGGTGACACAGGGACCCCTTGCCCGGCGCTGAGATGGAGCCACCTCTGGGGCGGGGCGGCTGGTGACACAGGGACCCCTTGCCCGGCGCTGAGAGGCAGCCACCTCTAGGGCGGGGCGGCTGGTGACACAGGGACCCCTTGCCCGGCGCTGAGATGCAGCCACCTCTGGGGCGGGGCGGCTGGTGACACAGGGACCCCTTGCCCAGCGCTGAGATGCAGCCAGCTCTAGGGTGGGGCGGCTGGTGACACGGGAACCCCTCGCCCGGCGCTGAGATGCAGCCAGCTCTAGGGTGGGGTGGCTGGTGACATAGGGACCCCTCGGCCGGCGCTAAGATGCAGCCACCTCTGGGGCGGGGCGGCTGGTGACACAGGGACCCCTTGCCCGGCGCTGAGATGCGGCCACCTCTGGGGCGGGGCGGCTGGTTACACAGGGACCCCTCCCCAGGGTGCTGGGCATCGGATGGAGACCAGTTGCTGTCACAATGAGGTTCCAGTGCATGGCAGAACAAGGCCTGAAGCGGTTCAACGTCATGCAATAACGTGGCCCAGATTCAGCCGCAGCAGTGAGGCATTTCGGGTGCAGACTAGAACAGCGGTTGCAACAGTGTTGGATAGATGTAATACATGCTGGGAGGGGCACAAGAATCCAGCTGGAGTCCATAGACATGGTGGTGGATTAGCAACTGCATGCCTGGGGCCCCCAGAAAGATGGGCACCCCGCCGAGAGTGCCCTAGTCAGGACAAGCCCCCATGCCCCAACCCCGCTCCCTGGCTGGCATGCCAGGGCAAAACCCCACACCCCTACCCCATTTCCCCAGAAGGAGTCCTGTGGGGGCAGGCAGCGGGATTGCCAGTGGAAGGGATGGGGAGGGGCCCCCCAAAACTAATCCACCACTGCATAGACACCCCTAGTTGCAATCACTGTTTACTGCCCGGCCATACCACATTGTTGCAACTACTGGTATACACGGCACCTGCAATGGTCTTGCAAATGCGGTTCTACCCACCTTGTTGCAACTACCAGTAGCCACCGCTAGGACCCAGGTGTCCTGCACCCCCTCACCTCCTGCTCTTTGTGTCCCCACAGCTCCGCCAAGGACCCAGGAGCGGGGAAGATCCGGGACGTGGCCTCCTTCCGCCGCCACTTCCGGATGGGCTTCATGACCATGCCTGCCTCGCAGGAGCACGCGCCCCACCCCTGCGCTAGCGGCATGGCGCCCCGCTCCCTCTCCTGCCACTCGGTGGGCAGTGTGGAGAACGGCGAGGGGGCCACCAGTGCCAGGAAGCCCCCGGCCAAGCCCAAGCGCCACCCCAGCACCAAGCTCAGCATGGCAGGCGAGGGGCGGGTGGCAGAGCCGGCCGGCGGCAAGAAAACCGGTGAGGCCTTTGGACTGGTGGAGCTGGGGGGGTAAGGGGGCATCCTCCTGTGGGCCATTAGGGGGCGCTATGCTGCAGGGAGCAGGGTGGGGGCTCAGTAGGAGTCACCCTCCCCTGGTAGGCAGAGCCAGCCCAGACGCCCTGGTGTGTTCCTAGAGGGCGCTGTGCTGCTAATTGTTAATTGACATAGGAGCACAGGCCAGTGGCTCTCTTCCCCGGAGCTGGGCTGGGAACTCCGGCATCCGGGCCGAACCTCCGCTCCAGCGATTGGCCAACTTTCTTCAACCCCCCACCACAGCCTCAGTCAAACCCAGCATTCCTGTCCAGTCCTAAACAGTGGGGCAGTGCTGCTGTGAAAGGCATTACACAGCCACCGTGCCTCACCCCAGAGGTGGCCGCATCTCAGAGCCAGGCGAGGGGTCCCTGTGTAACCAGCTGCCCCGCCCCGCCCCAGAGGTGGTTGCGTCTGAGCTCTACCTTCTCCCTCTCCCAGGGCCCCAGAAGTCATGCTCCGAGAGCCGGGAGTTGGGGCGCAAGGTGCCCCCCCAGAAGCCTAAGCGGAGCCCCAACACCCAGCTCTCTGTCTCCTTCGACGAGACCTACTCCAGCCGCCCCCTAGTCACCCCCATGGGCGGGGGGGCACCGCCACGGTTTAGCCGGGCGTTCTCCCACGGCCACGCCAAGGGCTCGGACCCCGAGGACGAGGAGCCTGTCTATATCGAGATGGTGGGGGACATTTTCCGGGGCACCGGGGCACCCCAGCCGCCGCCGCCCCCAGCAGGGGAGGAGGACTCTGACGAGAGCGAGGCAATCTACGAGGAGATGAAGTACCCCCTGCCTGAGGAGGCCAACGGCATGCCCGTCTCCCCCCACCCGCGCCAGGCTAAGGCGGACAAGGGCAAGACCTCCCCCTGCGACATCCCCCCGCCTTTTCCCAACCTGCTCCAGCACCGCCCACCCCTGCTGGCCTTCCCCCAGGGCACGGGGCACAAGGGCTACAAAGCGGGCAGCCAGGAGGCCTCCTCCAAACTCCCTGTGCCCTGCCATGCCAAGGAAGCGCCGGCTGCAGCCCATCCATCGGGGCACCAAGCCCTAGTGCCCTCCGGCCGCGCCCGCAGCCACTCCACTCCCCTGCCCCCACAGCCCACTGGGCAGCAGAAGGCGGAGAAGGAGCTGCCCAGTTCCCACAGCATGATCTGCCCCCCGGCCAAGCCGCTGCCCTCTATGCTGCCCGTGCCCCAGCCGGCCAAGGACAAGCCGGCCGTGTCCTACACCATGGTGTACTCGGCCGTCAAAGTCACCACCCATGCGGGGCTGCCGGCCGAGCAGAAGACGGAGAAGGAGATCTCGGTGCTGCACGGGATGCTGTGTGCCCGGCCAGCCACCGTGCCCGCCGGCAAGCCAGCCCAGCGCCCTGAGCCGCCCCTGGGCATGCTGTGGACTTACCCAGCCCCCTGCGGGGGTATGAAGCGCCCGCCGGCCTACGAGAGCGTCAAAGGAGCCGGGGCCAAGGCCGTGCCGCCCGTGATGAAGTTCCAGCTGCAGGACCGCGGGGCATTCGCCAGCATGGCCTGCTCCCATGTGGTGGCTGGCGCCGACGAGGAGATGCTGGGCGTGGGTTGGGCGCTGCAGAGGAAGGGACTCTACAGCAACCGGAAAGGCAAAGAGCCAGAGAGTGAGTATTGGGGATGGGGCATGGGGCCTGTCCCCTCTAGGGAGCGCCGGCCCCAAGGTGGGGACTGGCTGGCTCAAGGGGTCGGGAAATGGGGCATGTGGCCTGTCCCCTCTGGGGGCGCTGGCTCCCCCCCAGCCCCAGGACGGGGACTGGCTGGCTCAGGGGGGCGGAGATGGGGCAGGGGCCTGTCCCCTCTTGGGGGCTCCGGCTCCCACCTGGCCCCAGGGCAGGGACTGGCTGGCTCAGGGGGGCGGGGAATGGGGCACAGGGCCTGTCGCCTCTGGGGGGCGCCGGCTCCCACCCGGCCCCAGGGCAGGGACTGGCTGGCTCAGGGGATGGAGGATTCGAACACGTTCCCCTCTGACCCTGTCCTTTGCCCTGGCAGAGCCCGCGGAGGGCGCCCAGGTCTGGAACGGCAGTGGCGAGGTGCAGCTGAAGCCGGACAGGGACTTGAAAGCCCTGGTAGGGACCTCGCTGTCGGGGATCCCCGTCCGGGCCCCGGGACCCGAGGGGATGGTGCCCAAGATGCCGGGCTGCCGAACGGGGCTGCCTGTGCCATGTCAGACCTTCCCTGCCTGCCACCGCAACGGAGGTACCCCCGGCCGCCGTGAGGGAAGGGGGACAGGGCGGCTGCCCCAGGGCGGGGGATTGGGCAAGGACTTGGGGAGGTGAGCTCCGCTGGGAAGGGAGTGGGAGCCAGCGCTCGCCTCTGGCTCAGAGTGAATCCCAATGTGGTGACACGGGATTCTGTGCTGCGGGGAGGAGGGGGGCTGGCCGGAGGCTCAGTGGCGGGTGCTGTGCCATGTGGGGCGGGGCAGGGTGACCCATCTCATTTCTGGCTTCCCACTCTCCAGACCTCACCGGGGGTTACCGCCTGGGCCGGTCAGCTTCCACCTCTGGGGTGCGACACACCGTGATTCACACGCAAAGGCTGTGCAGTCACCCCAAAGACGCAGCCAGCCTGGTAAGGTATCCAGCACCCAGGGGGAGAGGTTGGGGGGCAAAGAAAGGCAAGGCCTGGGCTAGCAGGGGGCTGCAGGTCGGGAGTGAGGAGCACCAGAAGGGCTGGGGGCAGGTGCAGGGCTGGGCTAGCAGGGGGCTGCGCGTCAGGAGTGAGGGGCACCGGCAGAGTTGGGGGGAGCCCAGGAGTGGGCTAGCAGGGGCTGTGGGTCACTGGAGGAGCTGCGGGGAGTCCCCGGCTAGGAGAGCGGGTGCTGTGGGTTAGGTAGGGGGGGTCGCTGGGGGAGCCCCGGGCTAGGAGAGCGGGGGCTGTGGGTTAGGTGGGGGGGGTCGCTGGGGGAGCCCCGGGCTAGGAGAGCGGGGGCTGTGGGTTAGGTGGGGGGGGTCGCTGGGGGAGCCCCGGGCTAGGAGAGCGGGGGCTGTGGGTTAGGTAGGGGGGGTCACTGGGGGAGCCCCGGGCTAGGAGAGCGGGGGCTGTGGGTTAGGTGGGGGGGGGGCTGCGGAGATCCCACCCCCTCGTTGGGCGTGAGGCGAGCGGGGGCTCGGGGCGCGCTTTGCGGCCCGTCTCACTCTCTCCTCCGGCGGGCAGGGCCTGCCGCCCCTGCCCCTGCCCCTGCCCGGGGTGGCGCCAGGTGCCCAGGAGCGGGACGGGAAGCTGCTGGAGGTCATCGAGCGGAAGCGCTGCGTCTGCAAGGAGATCAAAGCCCGGCGCCGGCCCGAGCGCAGCCTGTGCAAGCAGGAGAGCATGCCCACCCTCCCCAGCTGGCGCCGCACCACGGACAGCCGCAAGGGTGGCACGCCGCCCTGCCGGCGCCAGCATGCGGTGCTGTGGGACACGGCCATATGACGCCGGGGGCACGGCCAGCATGGACCTGCCACGCCCCCACTGCACTGCCTTGGGCTGGCCGGGGACAGCAGAGGGGGTGAATTGCTGGCTGTTGACCCGTCCGCTCTCCTGTGGGGGCGACCCCGCGGTGCCCTCGGCTGGAAAGAGCCGGTTGGCCAAGCTGGGGATGCTGGACTGCGAGCGAGGCCTGGATCAGAGGTGAAGTGGGAGGGACACCCAGCGGTGATGGACCATCGCCCCCTTTCTGCTGCCCCTGGACTGGATCTGGGGTGGGGGTCACAATCAGGTGTTACCGGTGCCAGGCGCACCCACACCGCTGCCTTTCCGTCATCGTAAGGGGAAGAGGGACAAGACTGGGGTGACCAGGTTTGATGGTTGGGGTCGGGGGGAAAAATCAAAGCTCTCCGGCGGGGTTACTGATCCCCGCCCTCTGCCCCACTGACCCCCCAACGCCTCCCCTTTGGCCCCACAGTGGGTACAGTCCTCCTCAGCCGCCAAGTCCCGTTAACGTTTTTAGACACACGGCTGGACCGACTTGGGATGCTGGCGCGCTCTCCAGACCCCAACTGCTGCGGGGCGAAGGGATGGACTACCGCCAGGATGCCTGGGTTCTGCCGCCCCCTTGATATATTTAAGTAACCTGCCGGGATGGGGGGGGCTCTCTCAAGTGTAATGAGATGATGAAAATGCTTTGCAAAATATTTATGCTGGGGCGGGGCTCGGGGGGGGGGGCGGGTAATTTATATAGACAAATAAAGCATAAAGCAGGGTTTTCCGTTCCAGCTGGAATGCTTCCTTTCTGCCCCAATCTATTTCAAAGGCAAACGATTTGCTCCAGGGGTGGTGGTCCGGTTTTAGTTCTGGGTTGGTCAGGGGCCAGTTTAGAACGGGGTTTGTCTCTCTTCCGGACGAGGTTTCAAAGGAGAAGTTGAAACTCCAGGATCGGAGGAATAGATGTAAAGCAGAGGGTTATTTTAAATGCACCTTGATTCACTGCTCTGTAGTGGACGGTTGGGTAGTGGTTACAGCAGCGGGGGCTGGGAGCCAGGACTCCTGGGTTCTCTCCCTGGCTCTGGGAGGGGAGTGGGGTCTAGTGGATTAGAGCCGGGGGGGCTGGGAGCCAGGACTCCTGGGTTCTGTGCCCAGCTTTGCCCGTGGCGGACTGTGTGACCTCAGGCAAGCCACTTTCACTGCTCTGTGCCTCAACTTCCCCTGGACAGGCCTCAGCTATGCCACTGTGGATGCAAGGCCCACATGGCCAGATCTCCCACTCTCTGCCCGTTCAGCACACAGGGCAGCACTCTTCGCTAGCCCCACTATCAGACAGGAGCACGCGGCTTCGCTTTGACACACGCAGAGAGCAGGACATGGAGGCTGGCCCCACTGATCCTCCCAGCCCATGACACACTTCACACTCTGGCCACATCTTCACTAGGAGGTGGTGTTCTGAACACATGGGCGGCTCCGAACACGTGCTAGCAGTCAGCTGGGCCTGGGGCGGAGCCTAGGGGTTGGAGTGTGAGCTGCTAACACACATGAAATGCACAAACAGCCACCTCTCCACACACCAGAGCACTCACCTCGTTTCCTAGAAGAGCAGGTAGGCATCAAAAAATCTAGCCCCGGGGCTGTGCTTCAGAGAGAATCCACAATCCCAGCTCCACGCCCCTTCCGGGAGGACCTGCTCAGCGGTTGCCCGAGGGACTGGTTTTTCCATCCAAAAATGCTGTACTTCCCACGAGCAGGCGTCTGGTTGGATGACATTTCCTTTCCGGTGTTTGGGTGAGGCCAGGTAGTGCAACCCTTGGAGTTTTCAATTCAAATTGTTTTATTTCAGCTTAGATTACACGTGATCGTCATCTGTCAAAATAAACTTGAAATCAATGTTTCTACTTTAGCTAGACAGATTTTTAAAAATTTAGATATTAGTAACTAGAATAATATAATCTAACATTTTAAAAAATTTTGTAGCTAAAATAGGAACACTGTTTCAATTTTGACTTTTTGTGTTTACATATAACAACTGTACAGTATGTCAGATAATTATAAACTTATTTCAATCTAATTTTTAGCTCATATAATTATATATAATGCTATTTATAATATACTATAAATTATAATATTTAAACAAAAAGGCCAAAGTCAAACAAAATGTTTTCTTATTTCAGATTATAATAGGTATTATAAATAAGGATTCGATATTTATTGGTAAATGTTGGTCAACATCGATTTCACCAGACACAAACAAGCCAATGAAAAAATATTTCCATCTATGATAGTCAAAATTTACAGATAGACAAAGTGAGAAAAATGCTACTTGAGAATTTATTCAAGTTAGAAGGTATTTACTTTGTATATTTTCACGTGATGTTGACAATTTATGTTTTAACAGTTATAAAGCTTTAACTTTTTGAATCTCAACCGCTACTGTCATTAATTATTGTCTGACCCCCCCATTATCTTATCCTCCATAATTTCTCACAACCGTGAAAATTTAGAGCAATAAACATTGAAAAAATAATCCATAATTTTGTGTAGTTGCGAACATTTAAACCAATAATATATAAAAATGCCTAAAAAAACATATTATCTGTCAAAATTATTAACAAATAAAAATGGAATTCTCCCAAGCCTACATGTAATTTATGATCGAATCTTAAATAAAAATGGTTTCAATCTGATCTTTTTCAATTTTAGATTGAACTATCAATTTTAATTCTAAAATACTATTATTATTTACGATACGTTCTGGCTTTTTTCAATTTTAGACTAATTACAAATACAGCATAAATAACAGCATCATAATTATTTTATAAATGGTGTTAACTCTGAAACAGTCAGGTTGAAATTAAATGTTTTCATCTTCGATTCTCTAAATTGTAATTATAGAGATGTTTTATTGTTCTAGAGTGTAAATCGTAATATGAAAAAATCAAAAGTCAAAATTGAAACAAACATTCCCGTTTTATCATAATGAAATGATTTCCCCAAGCTTCACTTAGCAGGGAAATTAGAAAGTCTTGGTTTTCATTCTGATCTGGAAGGAAAAGGGATTTCAGAATGACCAAATTTCCCACCGAACGAAAATCGTGCTTCCTGTGGGTGCCCAGCGCAGGTGCCTCGGGGCCTTGTGTCTGCCCTCACTCCATTCCTATCCCGAAGGACAAGGCGAGGATTCGTGCTACCATAATCCCCCGCCCCACACACAAGTGTTACATCCGACATTAGATGGAGGGATTCCATCACTCCAGCCTTATCTTGCCACATGTAGGCAGCCATACAAACAAAAGCCAATGTACATTGTTACGCTGGCAGCATTATGAAGAGGTGACTTCTTGATTTCTCTTTGCATTTCTGGAGCAAGGGAGGTGGGTTTCATACTCCGGACTCCTGGGTTCTATCCCTAGGTCTGGGAGGGAAGTGATAACTAGTGGTTAGATCAGTGGGGTGCTAGGAGTTAGGATTCCTGGGTTTTGCCCCCAGCTCTGGGAGTGAGTATGGTCTGGTGGTTACAGCAATTGAGATGGGGACTCAGGACTCCTTGGTTCTAACCCAGCTCCACCCCTGCTTCACTGTGCAACCCCCAGCAGGTCGCTTCACCTCTTGGTGCCTCGGTTTCCCCTCTCGCCGCACCACAGCACTGGCGAGGCCTGACGTCTGTCCCTACAGTGCTTTGGGATCCAGAGACAAGTGAAGGATTACCCTTCTTTCCAGCTAGCCTAGGCAAGTTGCTTTGCCACTATGCTGGGGCGTGGTCCCTGCCGAGGGAGCTCCTGAGGCTGTAGAACAAAGGACAATGACAATGGATTTAAAGTAGGGTCACTGAAAAAACAAACACACACGTGTGTTGCCAAAAACCAAGATTCCAAGTGTTGAATTGCCTCTGTATTTAGGATTATTTATTTTGGGGGCAGGCGTATTTCTTTTGTAAAGTGATTCTGTGCACTATTAAAAGAGAAAGCAGCTAACTACCCTCTCTGTCCACAGAATGGCATTTCTTTCATTCAAGGCAGGGAGGCTGACGGGCAGAACCCCGAGCCCAGCTGGGAATTGGGCTTCCAGTTAAAAAAGAAGTTGAGCCAATCACATGTGGATGCTGCCTGAATGTGCAGAGAGCCTGAGCCCATCTGTATGGGAGGAGGGAGCTGCCCCCAGGGTGACTGACACAGTAACGCCTGCACTCTGCAAGGGGAGCGGAAATTTCCTGTTTCCCACAGGGAAACATGGGAAGTGGCGTGTAAGGGGCTTAAAGCATCTTTCCCCTCCTACAGGCCCAGAGAGACCCCAGCCATCTCAATGGTCCACTGACTCTGAAGTCTAACAACGACCCTCTCAGTGTCTCAATCGGATCCGATGTGACGAAGCGGGACTGTTCTTAATGTTTCCTCTGAATAGTGTGGGGGTGCCTCAGTTTCCCCTGTGCAGTTCTTAAGTCTCTAGGGGGTAGGAGAAGGGTGTATGATCATTTCAGAGCCCTAGAGGGCAGGTATGTGCAGGGGTCTGGACACAGAGAATGGCCAACACCCTGTTTCCTGGCCATGGGGCCTTCCCCCCCTGCAAGATGAGAGCTAAAGGGTTGGAGAACAAAGGAATCAGGTGACCTCCTGGCCCAAGAAAGGGACAAAGCCCGGGGGGGGGGGGGCTGGAGGGAGGTGGCAGTTTGAGGCTGGCTGGGGACACAGAGTGAAGGGCAGACGTGGTAGTCTGGCTCACTGCCCCCAAAATGGACCCAGCTGAGGGGTCCAGTTCTCTGCACCTACAAGCTCTGTGTTAGACCATGTTCCTGTCGTCTAATAAACCTTCTGTTTTACTGGCTGGCTGAGAGTCACATCTGACTGCGGAGTTAATGGGCAGGACCCTCTGGCTGCCCCAGGACCCCGCCTGAGCGGACTCACTGGGGGAAGCGCACGGAGGGGCAGAGGATGCTGAATGCTCCAAGGTCAGACCCAGGAAGGGGGAAGCCGGGTGAGCTGTGTGTCCTGCAGACAGGCTGCTCACAGAAAGGAGACTTCCCCAGAATCCTGACTGGCTTCGTAGGGAGCAGTTCCAGAGCATCGCCCAGGGACTCCGTGACAACCGGTGGCAGCGGTGGGATGTACTGCACCCCATGGATGGCGCTTCCTGCAGTAAGTGATGGGGGAGCAGTAAAATGAAGGGGGATTGACGAGGACAAGGCATGCAGAAGGCTCGGAGAGGAGCGGTTTCGGGGGGCGGTTAACCCCTGGGAGTGTGTGACCAATGAGAAGGACTGTGCAGTAATGGGGTCCCCCTGGGGACTGCGGTGAGCAGTCTCAGGGGCGGAGGAGCCTGCGGCTCGGCCCTGGGAGACAGAAGGACTTTTGCAGTAACAGTGTTCCCCTGGGGATTGCAGCGAGCGGTCCCAGGGCGGAGGAGTCTGCAGCTCGACCCTGACAAAGAGGGGGTGACCTCGAGAAGGGCTGGCACACTAGGGGTTCTCCCTGGAAACCGTGGGGAGCTGAGAGCACACAGGCCTGTGAGTCCACAACAACTTGGGAAGAGCGGAGTGATGGCCTGTCACCATCTCCTTAAGAAGGACATTGTAACCCTGTGCAGAAAGAGAGGGTTGAGCATTGGAAAGTTCACCAAAGCAGAGTTAATCGTGCAGCTGGAGGAGGATGATCGCTCTAAGGAACAGATTCCTGACCCTAAATGGGGCTATAGCAGGATCTGGGAGCAGCTGGAGTGGGAGCCAGGCATCCCCAAGACTCCTGTCCCCAACCAGACGAGGGTCTTCACGATCGGGTTCCCCATCGGGGGATCGAGACGGACGGGATTGGAGCTGAGTCTGAGAGAGCAAGAGGACTGTGAGAGACAGCGAGAGCCCGAGAAAGAGCTGCAGAAGCAACAGCAGCATGAACTGGCGGTGGTGGGGCGGAGAGGCCTAGGGGACCTCCCAGGGGTGAGTGGGGATAGACCTCGGAGGGCCAGTTCCGCAGGGAACCTCGAGAGTAAATTGCTGCCCCTGGTTAAGGAGTGGGGGGATGTGGATGCCCACCTCACTGCCTTTGAGCAGGCTGGAGATTTGAACCAAGGGGACCCTGCGGAAAAGCCCCGGTGTCTAGCTCCCTTGCTGGGTCCCAAGGCCATAGACTCCATCAGCCCGATGGGTGGGGAGGTGGACAGGCTCCCACTCCTGGTCCCAGCCTATATGTCTGTGTGGAGTCTCCTGGGGCCAGGCCCCTCAGACCCCCAGTGGGAGCGGAAGGTGATGGTCAATGGGGAGACATTCCTGGGGTGGCGAGATCCTGGGACAGAGAGAACTGGTGTCAGGCCCCGGGTGGTGCAGCCTCAGATGCTGAGGGGCTGGGTGAGCTGGGCGAGGGTCCCAGGGACGAAGCCCCTCGCCCTGCCTATGGCCCAGATCCCTGTGCAGACCCAGGAGAGGTGGGGCTGGCTGGTCGTTGGGGTTCTCGAGGATATCAGCTGTGAGACCCTGTTGGGGAGTAACTGTGTCTCTTTGGGACAGGATCCAGGCCCTGCTCCTCTAAGGGCCAAGGGTTTGAATTTGAATCCAGGGAACCAACTGGCGGAGAGGGAAATGGTCAGTGAAAATGCAGATGACATGGCTGGCAGTGGGGGAGGAGCTGCTAGGCTTGGGCTACCTGCCTGCCTGCAACCAGACCCCTGGGGCTGGGTGGGACAGAGAGATGCTCCCCGCCCCCCTGCACACCAGAGAGGGGACTCCCACTGGCTCTGATGCTGTGAGGAAAGCAGCGAGCTCGCTGCCTGCCCCCACTGAGACAGCAAGGGCAGCGCTGAGCACAGTGAGAGCTGAGACCCCAGCTGAGTCTGGGGGGAGACAAAAAGAAAAGGAGTACTTGTGGCAGGCAGGGAAGGTTATCTGTTGGGAGTGGCAAGGTGCTTGGTAAGGAAAGTCTGGATGAGCCTAGGCAGCCTTGTGAGCTGATGGCTGTGTCTAGTCAGCAGGATAGACCAGGATAGTCAGCAGGGTGGGAAGGCGAGGAGAGTGGAAGATGAGTGTCCCTGGACCTTACCTGTTACCTGGGGGGAGAACTGTGACAGTGAAGCAAACGTGCCTGTGTCTGTCAGGGGTATTGACCTGCCTATGGAGGGAGCTACCCTGATCTCCAAGCAGTTGTCTGCCAACAGCCTTGTGTGCTGGGACAAGGGGAATGAGATCCCAAGCTGTGTGTCTGGGAAAGGAGAAAGTGTGTCCGGCTCTTCTTTGTCTGTGGAGCAGACAGAAGGGGCCTTTCAGCCTATGATGGTTGAGAATAGTGCAGTTGTCTCAGAGTTGGTTCTGGATTCAGCTAAAGCCCAGGAATGGAAGGGTCCTAAGTTTGTGTCTGCTTGGGAGAATGGCCCTGTAACTAGGTCGCATCCAGTTAGTGTCCTAGCAAAATCCCAGACACCAGACAATTCTGGCGCTTGTATTTTGCCTGTTGCTAGTGTGTGGCTGGGAAAGGGTGTAGCAACTCTGTCTAATCGGGGTGAGATCCTAGCCAGGGCACAAGGAGAGCAGAAAGGTGATTTGATCGTGTTACCTACTGAGGGTGTGGAAACCTGTAGCAAGAAGGAAAAGATTCCTGAACTTGTGTGTGGCAAAGGGAAGGAGAATGCTTCTGACCTTTTATCTCGGAAGTCTGAGAGTTTGCCTGAAAGGGGATTGTGTAGGAATCCGCCTGATGGGCCAGAGGTGATTCTGGATGTAAGTGAGACTCAGAAAGAGTCTGTTGTTGCTCAGGAAAGTGTTCCTCTAGAGCAAGCCCTAGGTAAAGAGGGTAAGGGCAGAATTTCTGTGAAGGGTGAATTGTTGCATAGAAAAGCCCTAGGGAAAGGAATCCTCATGGAGTCTTTGCAAGCAGTTTACTGCAACTGAAGGGTGTGAAAGTAATTTAATCAAGAAAGTTTCAGTTCCTAATGGCCAGAAATTTTCTGTTGTGAATGGATCCACTGACTTTCCTGTTGAAAGATCCAGCGTGGATAGCTTTGAGAAGGTCTCAGATGGAGTGAAAGCTGTTAAGAAAGTTAAACAGTCCTATAACCAAGTGGCTGTGTTTGGCCAGCTTGTTGGGGAGACAAGGTTGTTGAGAAAGGAATGTCTCCATGCTAGTTCTGTAAGTGAACAGTATGTGGCCCAGGTCAAGATGGGGGCTCTTAACCAAGAGAGCCTGAATTGCAGCCCTCCAGACTGGAGCGCTGGGAGAAGACCCGATCCCAGTTTGACCCCTGGGGGCTTTGGGGTGGCAAAAGGGCACAGGCCACATAAACCTTCCCACATGCAGCCTGCGAGTGCTATCGACCACCCCCGACCTAAGGGAGGGCGTGAAACTAGAAGGGCCTGTTGTAACTCCCACCAAGGAACGGGAGAGATGCTGGGGCATCCATGGGAACACTGGTGGCTTCGAACTTCCCCAGGTCACCGGCTAAAGTGACCCCACTCATAGAATATCAGGGTTGGAAGGGACCTCAGGAAGTCATCTAGTCCAACGCCCTGCTCAAAGCAGGACCAATCCCCAATTAAATCATCCCAGCCAGGGCTTTGTCAAGCCTGACCTTAAAAACTTCTAAGGAAGGAGATTCCACCACCTCCCTAGGCAACGCATTCCAGTGTTTCACCACCCTCCTAGTGAAAAAGTTTTTCCTAATATCCAACCTAAACCTCCCCCACTGCAACTTGAGACCATCACTCCTTGTCCTGTCCTCTTCTACCACTGAGAATAGTCTAGAACCATCCTCTCTGGAACCACCTCTCAGGTAGTTGAAAGCAGCTATCAAATCCCCCCTCATTCTTCTCTTCTGCAGACTAAACAATCCCAGTTCCCTCAGCCTCTCCTCATAAGTCATGTGTTCCAGACCCCTAATCATTTTTGTTGCTCTTCGCTGGACTCTCTCCAATTTATCCACATCCTTCTTGTAGTGTGGGGCCCAAAACTGGACACAGTACTCCAGATGAGGCCTCACCAATGTCGAATAGAGTGGGACGATCACATCCCTC